TCTATATATATATATATATATAACCATCGCGGTATACTCCAGCGGTCTCAAGTGTACCACACGAAAGGGAAAATCCGTACGTATAATAGAAACTCGGGAAAATGAGCGAAAACAGGGATCAGCGCACGTTGATACTCCACAAGCGACCGACCGACAACGACGAGGTCGACCCGGTGCTACGTGCCAGACCGAGTTACAGGGGCCTGCAGCATACGGCCGAAGGGACGTCCTCGTCGAGGAGAACCCACAAGAAGAACAACGAGGGCGAGCGTGGCTTGGCCCGCGCCACAGTAGTCATGCCGCCCCGAGTACTGCAACACCCGGCTCACCTGCCCTCCAGGCGTAATGACATCTTCATTTTTGTTGAATCTTTTTTATTTTATTTTTTTTTCCACCAACAACACAACCCCTTCGTTGGCAAGGGTAAAGAACCGCCCGACTATAATCTCGTTGCAGATGTGGGTTATGGTTGTTGGCGAGACTCGCCAGGGCGTCGCCATACCTTTCTCTGCTCGATATAAATATGTTAGAACACGCGAACGGGTGGTATGTGGACAAGCACTGCCGTGGGGGTTGGGTTGAAAAAATAAAGAGTCAAAAACGAGCCAAGGAATTCATTTCTTCCCGTGCTCGGAGCAAAAAGGCTTTTAATTTCCGCAGCCGGGCGCCGATGATCCACCACCACCGGGGGCTGGTACCGAGAGCGCAATCGTCTCTTCCTCGTTGGTCCCTCGATTCGCCCCGGCGATTTTTGCACATATTAACTTTCTGCTTTCGTTTGCCAAACTCCCCCTTCGTCATTAGCTGCAGTGCGAGGGACATTGAGTATCCTATCTTATATATGTTTATATCCACACTGACATCATTTACATGGAATCCTTTGGGTGCAGGTTGGTTATCGAAAATCGGTGGGATTTTTAATTTTTTTCGTTTGTCATTTGCAGCTGCGAAAATCCCGATGACGTCGCACGACGATAATGAGAGCTCCGTGCAGCATCACAGGCGAGAGGACGACGCGTTGATGGGCCACAGCGATAAAGTGGGTAAGTGTCTTCAAGGCTCGCCCTACCACCTTTGGATGCTATACGATATTTCAGACAAGTAGTCAAACTCCATATCAAAACGGTGGATGACGATTTTATATATATACACGTGATCTGTCGTAGAAGCAGAACTGGCATAATTATTCCGATTCTTCGTGGTAGCGCTAGAGACTCTATTTTAGCCTCTGCTTTATTTTCGTTGCCGAATAACCGAATTTTTCTACTGTCTTTCTATTTTTTTTTCTATCTAAAATAGCGTGGGCGTCAAAACAAGACTCGTTCTCGGAAACAAAAACCACGTCAATCGGTATAACTTTATTGTTTGTTTGTTTGCCATGGAGTCGAGCACTTGATGTACAAGTATCTCCGATAAATCACTCGGTCATCCTTCCCTGTACTGTTTCGCCGTTCGCGCGTGCCCGATGTATAGTATATATTATATCATAGTTTCCATGATCGCGTGGCGGTCAAGGTTGAATCTCTCTATAAATGCATTCTCACTGGTGGAAGACGAGTGCGCGGTCTCTCCGTGATTGCTTCCTTGAATTTTTCAACTAACGAAAGGAAAAAAAAGACGCCGACGTAATCAAGAATTCAAATGAGGCTGATGCTTTTTGCTCGCGATGGCTCTCTACCTGTGCAGCTACGTCGTGGATATTTCTTTGTTTGATCTTTCAAGCTTTTGGTCTCACGCTTTCCACCACCACCTGCACAAAAAGCGCGTACTCGTGCGGTTTATTTGCAATAATTTTTCTTTAGCCAGCGAGTCGGGAATACATCGAACGAGCAAACAAAACAAACCTTGACACTGCGTCGTCTTTGGTCCAATCGCTCCTTGTGACGAGATTAATTGATTAAATATCGATGGAAATGAAAGATAGTAAGGGAAAAAAAAAAAAAAATAAACAGTATGGGCTCTAATGGAATTTTTGTCTATGATGAATTTATCCGCATAATCGAGCTAGTCTACTGTCCGATGTGGAACGTTACGTCACTCTTGGTCATGCCTGCGGCTACATTTGGTTGTACTATATGACGATTAGAGCATGTCTCTCTCTCTCTCGCGTCAATATAGTTGCACCAAATGTACATTTTTTTTTTTTTTTTTTTTTTTTCAAATTCCGGTGGAGTCTCTAGCGTGCGCATGATATTTCAAGTTTGTGTAAATCAACAGGTGGTGATGAATAAACTTTTGTCCATTCACGTAGATCCCACTGCAAAAAGATCGAGGATAGAAGTCCTTTCGAGGAAGGACATGTTGGAGGATAGACAACAGAACGAGGACGATGACATGGGTTATCCGGTGCAGATCGTCCAAACGCATCCGGACCACACGTTCGAGCTCGACGAGGACGCCCTGACCGAGATTCTGCTCCAGGAGGACATCAAGGACCGAAGCGTCGTCGTTGTCTCGGTCGCCGGAGCCTTTCGCAAGGGCAAGAGCTTCCTCCTCGACTTTTTTCTCCGTTACATGGACAGTAAAGTACGTCTCCGTTTCCTTTCTCTCATTCACCATCCGCGATAATTATACTAACGAGTTATTCTCTTCCCCCCCGACAGTACGTCAAAAAAGAAAACACGGATAGTTGGCTTGGTGGCGAGAACGAACCGCTGAGCGGGTTCTCGTGGCGAGGGGGTTCCGAGCGCGACACTACCGGCATTCTCATGTGGTCGAAGGTGTTCCCCACGACCCTGTCGAGCGGCGAGAGGGTCGCGGTCATCCTCATGGACACACAGGGTGCCTTCGACAGCCAGTCGACGGTGCGCGACTGCGCGACCGTCTTCGCCCTCAGCACGATGCTGTCCTCCGTGCAGATCTACAATCTCTCGCAAAACATCCAAGAGGACGATCTGCAACACCTGCAGCTGTTTACCGAGTACGGCAGGCTCGCTCTCGAAAAATCAGGCAGCACGCCTTTCCAGAGGCTGCAGTTTCTAGTGCGCGACTGGAGCTACCCGTACGAGGCGGATTACGGGGCCGAGGGTGGCATGAAGATCCTCAGCCGGCGTCTCGAGATTTCGGACAGACAACACCCGGAGCTCCAGAGCTTGCGCAAGCACATCAAATCCTGCTTCTCGGATATATCGTGCTTCCTCATGCCCCATCCGGGCCTCAAGATTGCCACTAATCCGAAATTCGATGGCAGGCTTTCCGAAATCGAGAGCGAGTTCAAGCAGCAGCTCAGGTTACTCGTACCTCTACTGCTTGCGCCTGAGAATCTTGTGACCAAAAAAATCAACGGACAGGTCGTCAAAGCCAAAGAGCTGCTCGAGTATTTCAAGAGCTACATCAAAATATACAAGGGCGACGAGCTGCCCGAGCCTAAGAGCATGCTTGTGGCAAGTATAGCTCTTGCGTTTTTCTCGATTTTCGAAAGGTGTTGAATTTTTAACTTAATTTTTTTTTTTCCTTCCTTAATAGGCCACGGCCGAAGCAAACAATTTGTCGGCCGTAGCAGAAGCCAAAGATTTGTATCTGCAAATGATGGACTGCGTTTGCGGAGGAACCAAGCCATTCTTGGCGACCGCCCATTTGGAGTCTGAACACTCGCGGTGCGTCGACAGAGCGTTGTATCAGTTTGAAAACAAAAGAAAAATGGGCGGCGAGGAATTTAGTCAAATGTACATGGAAAAATTGAAAAAGGTTAATACACGGCAAATCAATAGTTTGTGGTTGATCATTTCAATTGTGTGATTGTTGTATTTTGCAGGATATCGAAGAAGCTTTCCATCAGTTCAAGGCGCACAATGAAAGCAAAAATATTTTCAAGGCTGGCAAAACTCCCGCAGTGTTTTTCGTCATAGCCGTTGTAACATATATAGCTTCTGGTGTTTTCGGCCTAGTCGGTTTGAGCACTCTATCATACATCTGTAATGTTATTATGGGAGTTGCCCTGTTGACACTTGTCTTGTGGGCGTACATTAGGTACGTAAAAGATTTTTTGAAATAATCAAAGAGAAATTTGCATTATAAAGTGGGAAATTATCTTTTTTGTATTGTAGATATTCTGGAGAGTTGCGTGAGACGGGTTCGTTTATTGATGATCTAGCATCAATGATATGGGAGAACGTAAGTATTATTCAAACGATACTCGAAAAACTAACAGTTTATATCGATAGAATTTTTCAGAACGTGTTTTTGTGAATGCTCTGTTAACTATTTATACATGCATAGCGATGATCGACTTGTCTTTAAATATTTGCGACATATACATTTATTTATTGTGACTGCTGTAACATAAGTTTGTTGTTTTGATAAAGAACTTTTAAAACTACTAACATTTTAAGATTAATTAACCCACGATCGAAAGGCCTAACTAACATGTAGAATTTTTTATTCCCACAGGCCTGGAAAAGTACTCGTCTCGTTCATAAATTACGATACCTTATCCTTTCTTTATTTTTGACCTTCTGTGCTGTGCCATTCATAGCATTATTTTTCAATCATCTGCGCAAACATCGTCTCATCTGATACAACGCTCTTTTATTAAAACAAATAAATTTATCACATTTTTTATTTTTTAACATTGGTTTTTGTTTTATTTTGTCCATTAAAGTCATCCCCTCATTGAAATCATTATCATGTTTTTTCGTGTAAACATCTTTTTTATTTTGATCCTAACAATTTCGAGTGATATGAGGATATCAGTGTTCAATAAAGGTATGACGGTTGTTGCGTGGTTAACCAAATGCTTTTTGACTTGCTTGATGAAAAATTCATATCTCACTTTAGAAAAGATTCTTAGCAGGCGTGGACATGCATTGCTGATTACAAGTTTTAAATCATATTTAAGTAATCACAAAAATGTCCATTTCTGCTCAAGAATCAAGCTTACAGTATTGAGTGACGCTAAACACTTTGTATTCTAAAATTAGATTTAACACCACAGCCATGGGCATGCGCACAGATTTTCCTTGGAGATTCACACGCATTATTTATAACGTAACATAAACATTGTCCATTTCTGCTAAGAAAATATGAAAAAATAAGCATCAAGTAAATATCGATGTTGATTATTTTTTTTAAACCGCACGTCCCTTTAAGTGATTTAATAGACATGAAAAATCCTTTTTCTACATTTTATGTTTAGTTTATGAAACCGGTTTACCAGCAATTCGTGGAGCGGTCTGTTGCAGGGATAGCAGTGGTGCAAGTTGCTCAGATGGCTACCAATTCAACAATGGCAACGATGAGCAACAACACTGCCACTGTCAATGGCAAGCCTAAATTATCGTAATGCAATGCTCTCTTTGTGGTGTTGCAAATAAGAGATAGGAAAAATGTTCTGTCAAGAAGACACAAAATAAAGTGTTCCGTTCAGTACCACATGCGGTTGTAAAACGAACAGATTTCCGCTTAATTGTTGGTTTGAAGGAAAATTAACTTTAAAAAAAATGAAAAAGTAAATGGAAAAAAATTTACAAAAAATAATGTTTGATACCATTCTTTGCTCAGTTCAGTAATTTCAACTGCAAAGGTGTGTACAGTACATCCTGATTAAGAGTAAGAGTTAGATTGTTACAAAAATTTATTATTATTATTATTATTAACGTCGCTAATTGTATTGTTATAGTAAAAGAAACAAAAAAAATTTGTATTAATAAGTGATATTGTCCAAGCAATATGATTTTTTAATTTTTACCATACATTTGAAAGAAAAGTGATGTTTTAAAACATTAAATAAATTTACGTGATTTGTATAAAGAGCAGTCAGATATGTTGCAGAAATATTAAATATAGTTAATTTTTTCCGAGATGATCCTTGCAGAGTTTTCAGCTATAGTTACATTTGGTTAACATTTCGTAGGCTTTGTTAAAAAAAAAAAAAAAATGAATTACTTATCATTAATTTTATACACAATAATTTTAACAGTAACTTACGAGTCTCTTAATGTGCCACAAAACTTCCTTACCTAAGCGTTGTATTAAAAATAAAACTGATTTATGTAAATGTCACAGCCCCTTCATTAAGTAGCATGTGTTTTAACAACATAAAATACCAGGGATTTCTCATTAAGTTTTGTTAACCCATCATGCCATAGTAGCAGTAGTAGTAGCAGCAGTAGTTGTAGCTTAGGTAATTCCATTCGAAATCTTGCCATGAAAAAAATTTTTGCGGAGTGTTCTATGTAAGTTAGACATATTTTTTCGTATAATATTCATCAATAGTTAATTATATTTATGATTCTAAAGATAATTTTGATAAAAAGAAAGGTTCATGAAATGAAATTGAAAGATTTTATTGCATTGTAATATAGGTGATGGTTCCAGTTGTTCATTGATTTCTGTCTTTGTTATTATGTATTTTTATTATTTATTATGGAAAGTAGATTGTTATATTTTTTTTTATTTAATATAGTATATTCATTCATTTCTAATAAAAATCATAAATACATTAATATTTTGTTTTATTATGAACTACTACGTAAATTTTTTAATGATAATTCAAAAGGAGTGTTGTAAAAACTTGATTAAGCGATCTAGTACACACATACTGCACTTATTAAGTTGTTTGCACTTTGTGAATACAAATTTTGGACAAAAAAAAAGACAAATCAATAGAAAATAGTTTTCTGGTGTAAGCGATTGTAGGTGGAAATAAAACGTGTATTTTTGTACAACAATTTTTTATAATTTTATTCGTTTCCTTAATGCTAAATTTATTATAAATGTACAAAATTGTAAAGAATCATGTTACTTTAAACATCTTACGCACTATGCTCTCGTATCCCTGTACAGAAACACGCCATTTTTCACTATAAATGTTATACTTTTCAAGCGCAAGTTTATTCTTAGGCTCAAGAGTGATTACCATTTTCAGATCATTAGATGCTTGCTCAAAGTTTTTCAGCCCTGCATAAGCTACCCCTCTCCTGTAAATGGCTTTTACATTGTTTGTGTCCTTATTTAATACTTTATTACACAGCGTAAGTACATGTTCATAGTTTTTCCGGATCAACTGACACTCTGCCATGTTGTTGTACAAAATGTATTTGAGTTCCGTGATATTTTTCATTATCAGCCCCTCTTCTTCAATAGGTTCTAATGTGATAAGGATCTTACATGCCTGACTGAACTTGTAAAATGCATCGACGTGCAAATTGGCTTTAAAGAGTTCCACTCCCTTTTCTTTGCACTTGAAGGCAGTGTCATGTTTCTCTTGTGGGCTCCACTCCCAGATTGGTTTGTAGATTTCTGCCTTTTCCAGAGTTATCTGTACAGAGATCACAATAGTCTCTTTTTTTTCACTACTTAATGGAACCATTAATGTGACCAAACTTTGTTCTTTGAGAGACATTCTTTGAATGGCCCTCTCGATTAGCCTGTCAATGATTGAACATGCATTTCCAATCGTGATACTTTTATGTGCATCCTCATCAACAATTTCACTACGCAATTCAGCTTTAATTTGCTGTACAGTCATGTTTGAACACTGAGGATTTTGAACATGTATGTGGCAAGTGGACAACTCAGTTGGCTTGTTGGAAAATTTACCTGCAAGAATAACTTTTTTTTTCACCAACTTATCCATCGACTGGTAATCAGACATCATGAAAAATTAACAGGACCAATCAACACGGTAAATAATCAAAGACTATTTGTTGTTAAATTATCTCTGTTCAATATGTTCCTGAATACATTCGTCCTAAAGTAAATAAATATTCTTATAAAAGTATTTTTGAACCTGTAAAAATAAAGAAGACATGAAGAGGATACAAGTAGTAGGGAGATTGATACTGCTTTAAATCTAAAATTATAGTCTTAAAAGACTCTCGTGCTCCAAAATTTTGTACGTACTTGTCAATACACATGCTTATACACAAAGTATTCACAGCCGTTTATCCTGATGGAAATATTGACATTAGACTCATTCATAGCACAGATTAAACAAATATACACGCATTATAAAAGTCTATTTTCTTTTTGTTTTCAATAGTTTTTAAAAGCTCTGAGGCAAAATGAACAATGTGCGTTAACAAAAGCCAGTGGTTGTTGTTGATAGTTGTAAGCTTGTTCTCTCTCTCTCTCTCTCTCTAAAAACTGCCTTAAAAAACCATCCTGGTGTAACAAATCATCCATGTAAGGGTTATTGGGCAATATATAAACAACCATGTACTTACTCAATTGCAAAAAAAAATATAAATTAATTTATACACCAATTTAATTAAGCAGACTCTGAGCAAAAGTTGAACAGTGGCGCCTCTCGCGGTGTAAGTGCCAATTAAGTCGTCGCGCGCGCGTGTGTGCTGCGTTGAACGACCGCGCGCGGGGGGCGGGGCAGTTGTCTCGAGTCGTCGGTGCGCTTGAAAACGTTGCCAACGAGATAAGTACACGCGAAAAGTATGTCGTCCTTGAGTGGTGACGAGAACAGCGAGACCATGCAAAGTGAGCCAGGTAAGTCACGAGCACGAGCGTCATCGTCGGGTGCGTCCCGGAATGTATTTTCAAATACTCGAGAATCGCTGTGTATAACCCGTGAACGCCCGATGCTACGCGGACCGCCATTTGAACAAATGGCGTCGCCAGCTAGTGCACGTATATATATACGTATGTGGTTATCGCGATACATCATGCACACACACGCGCGTGTCCATCTCCTCTGCCGGGAATGATCATCTCCTGGCAGAGCGGGAACTTGTGTGACGTTGATGAGCTCGGGATGTTTTTGTGGTAGGGTTAGGATGGTGTACCGATTAATGTGGAACGTAACGACCCTTGTCTCGATTGTTTGTTTCAGTGAGGCGAACCAGGTCCGGTCGAGCGGTCAAAAAAGTTGCAACAACGCCGGTCAAAAAGACACCGGCTAAAAAAACTATGACCAGGGCCACTCGTGCCTCCAAGATCATACATGAAGTCGAGGAGGTACTTGAATCTTGACTTTGATTACTCTAATGATTTTCTATTAGTTTTTTGATCGATCATAGTGTACTGATTTTCCAAACAGTACATTCATCCTTGGTTGTTAAGTATTATTATGGTTGTTTAGTTTGTTACCTAGGCAGCCATAGAGTAACATGGAAATAAATGTCGATTGCTATGTGGCATTTCTTACAATCTCTTTTAAATGTTATTGCATCTTTGTTAGTTGTTTTAAGAGATTTTTTAAAATAATTAATTTTTTTGCAGGAAAACAGATCAGCTGAAACAGACATTAGTACACCTGAAAATGGTGTCCAGACAGAAGTTATCAAAGACTTGAAAGAGAGTACAGTTGAGAAATTGCAGTCCATCAAGACTCCAGAACAGACTGATGATAAACATAAAGAGCAGGTGGTTGAACACGAAGAGGAGAATCAAAATAATGAACATCTAGTATCAAAAATTAAAACCAGTCAGGAGCCAGTTGTTGCATATCAGCAGGAGCAAGGTGATTCCAGCGAAGAGGAACAAAGTGAAACATGTGCACAGAAACAAGATAACGTTCATGAGTCAGAGGAGTCAGAGGAGCAAGAAGAACAAGAACAACTAAATACATGTGATGAGGAGCAAGAAAATATAAATGAACAACTGCAAGAAAACATGTGCGAAGAACAGCAAGAAGTTCTATGTGAAGAGGAGACAGAAAGTATGTATGAACAGGAAATAGAAAGTGGTACATATGAACTGGTGCAAGAAAATATCTATGAAGAGGAGCAAGAAAATATATGTGCAGATGAGCAAGAAAATACATGTGAAGACGAGCAAGAGAACACATTTGTAATGGAGCAGGAAAATTCAGGCGAAGAAGATCAAGAAAATTTATCTGAACAAGTACAAGAAAGTACATGTGAAGAAGAGCAAGTAGAACTCCAAGAAGAGCTGATGGAAGAATGTCAAGCTGAGGCTGCAACTGTGGAAGGTGAAGAGATACTTGAATTTGATCCTGAAGCTGGTCAACCAGAAGAAGAAGCAGCAGCTCAAGTACCAGAGCAAAAACCTGACGAAGAACCTGAAGCAGAACCTATGGCTGTAGATGAAGAAGTACTTGCTGAATCTCTTGAAACTGCTGAAACTGCTAAACGTTCACTGAGAATCAAGGCTGTATCAGAAATGATGGTTTGTTTTTTTTTTATAATTGTTTTAATAGTTTCGTTGGCAAGAATAAGCAGTATTTATTTATTTCTATTTTCTTATTTTTTAGGAGGAAAGTACAGATGACCAGTGCATTTTAATAGAAGATGACGTAGATCAGTTTGTTATGGAGGAAGAGGAAAAAGCTGAGAAAGAAAAGCAAGACTTGGAGAAAAAAAAATTTTCTGGACAAGATAGTGAAATTATACCTGACAACGATCAATTTAGAAATGAAGATGTAGAATTCATTTCAGAATGTAATGAAGTTTCAGAAAATTCAATTCAGCAATCGAACCAAGATCACGAAGTCATAGAAATTAGTGACCATGAAAGTGAACCAACATCAAAGAAAAATGAAATTGATACAGAAGCTGTTTCCGAAGATGAATTGCCCACTGAAACTGCTGCTAAGGTATTTTTCATTCTAGAGATGTATCATCATAGATTCTTTATTTTTACCTTTGCTTTGGCCATCACGTCCACCCTAATCCAATAGCTTTTATTCCTTTGCACCATTTAGAATTTAAATTATGCATGCGAGGATGTAGAAGAAATTTCAGAAGATGAATTTCTCCCAAATGAAATTAAGTGTCAGGTATAATGACCACTTACTGCTAAGTCCTGTCTATCCACTAAATTTGCTTTTCTTTTTCTATTAACTAGCTGCTTGCTGGTGGTATGGATTTTTTCATACTTTTTTTTTTATTTGTTCAATTAAGATTCGTTGAATAAGTTTTTACGTAAAACTTTTAGTCACAATAAAATATTACTATTGAATCATAGGAGCCGGAAACTGAAGCGGTTTCAGACGAAGAATTGCCGGTGGTTAAACCTGCCGATCTTGGTGAGACTGAATCAGTGTCAGACGAAGAATTACCTGTTGAAAGTGATAGGAAAAAGAAAGGAAGTAAGTCTGCCAGCAAAAGCAATGGAAAAAAATCCAAATCTGAATCAAGTGCGTAATCGGTTGAGTAATTCTAATAATTGTCTAAAAACTTGAACTTGTTCCAATAAAATTATTCCTGTTGACAGGCAAACGCAAGCGTAACGCTGAAGGTGAATACGATCCTAGCTCGCCAACTTCTGAAAATAATGATGAGACGCCTGCTAAAAAAGTCGCTGTTTCAGTTGATGCCTCTAATGACAAGGCAGACGTCAAACCTCCTTCTCCAAAAAAGAAAACTCTTCCAGAGCTCGAAAAGTATTGGAAAGCAGTCAATGATGATCCTGCAGATTTTACCGGATGGACTTACTTGTTGCAGTATGTAGACCAAGAGGTGAGTTTATCAGTTGGATTCTTTTACCAAAGCAGTTTTACTAAATGTTGGAAATAAATACTAAAAATTTGTTTTCAATAGAACGATGCCGAGGCAGCTAGGGAAGCTTACAGTAAATTTCTGGAGCGCTATCCATATTGTTACGGTTACTGGCGCAAATATGCTGATTACGAGAAGAAGAAGGGTGACCCGGAGCGCGTTCAAACAGTGAGTGTTTTTATTCATATTTTATTGAGATAGCTTAACAGTTGACGGTATTCAAGTATAATTTTTTTTAAATTATTTTTATTCGTGTTACATAGTTGAGTAAATAATGAAGTATATGTTCTTATAACTAACGTATTCTTAAAATATTTAATCTGTAATAAAACTCGTTCGAGGTAGGAAGGCGCGTGGACTGTGTTGTGCACGCACGCAAATTATGGTTTTTTCCCTTTCAACAGCCTAGCACGTCTTGCGGCACCTATGCGACTCTCCTCGCTAATCGATTAGCCACTCGTGCGACTTATCAACTAGAACACACATTACATTATGATTTACTACTACTAGAATGCTATTATTACAACATACTTAATAGTGCTATAATATATATTACTACTAGACATAAGTCGGTCTCGAGCTTGTTGTCTCCTTATATAATGCTACTGTCGCTCACCGTCGTGAAAGTGATTATGATTACTATTACTATAATGCATATTATTACTATATTATTATTATATGTGTGTCGTTGTTATACTTCATGTATAAGCGTTTTGATGTACATACTTATTACATCCGTTATATGAGTGACATAAGTATTGTAAGATACCTACACACTATGATTATATAATGATCGTATCGCTAAACCCTCCTGAGTGTATCATGGAAGGGTTTTGTCAAATTCATGCCTTATAAACAATGAAAATGAGTTTGAAAAAAAAAAAAAAAAAAAAAAAAAAAAAAGAGAGAGTCGCGAGACAAAGACTTGGGACGGGTGCACGTGTGTGGGGCCTGCAGATGAAAATCAAAGAATGAGAAGATTACTGTAGGGAGAGAGTGAGGATTAAAGGAAGAGAGCACGCGCCGAGGCACACTTCGTACGCGGACACTCTTCCCCCTCGACTTTTAAAGGTGAATGCACAATGCTCTGCAATCTCTCTGTGTTAATTACGACTATTTATTTACAGTACGCGTTTGCACAAAGTACGTGAGTATTTGTTTTATGAAACAAAACAAAATCATGTGAATCACCGATATTATTATTATTACAATTACGTTTAAGCATTAGGTTTACATTAAGTTACTTTAAATGATGTATATTATAAGTACCGTACCGATCTATCCGCCGCTGGCCCTAGAAGAGATCGGTTATCTATGATTTTTCCTTTTGAACTAACCATTTTTCTCTTTTCATCAACTCCACGCAGGTATTTGATCAAGGTTTGAAAGCTATATCCCTCAGTGTCGACTTGTGGCTGCACTACATCAATCATTGTAAAGTCGCTCATGAAAAGGACGAGGAAAAAATGAGGGAACAATATAACAGAGCCATCAACGCTTGCGGTCTTGAATTTCGGTAACTTTCGGTTTTCCTTGCGTCGTATTTTTTTTATTTTACTATTTTTAAAAACACAAATTAACCTAAAGTCATAACAATTATAGGTCAGACAAGCTCTGGTTGAGTTACCTAGAATGGGAAAAAGAGAATAAAAAACTGGACAAAGTCATGGCAATCTATGACCGACTTTTATGCACTCCTACTCTCGGCTACCTGTCTCACTTTGAATCCTTCCAAGATTTCGTTACGACAAACAGTCCCAATAAAATCTTGAGCGTCGACGGATTCCTGACACTAAGGGCAGAAGTCAAGGCTTCCCTCAAGGCAGATGACTCTGCAGGAGACGACGCACCGCCTGGTGAAGAAACAGACAAAGATGCTCCACCGAGCGACGAGGAGACGCGTGCCATACGTGAAAAGATCATCAGTACCCGTAGAAAAATGCACAAGTCAAATGTGAATGCCGTTGCTGCGAGATGGACTTTTGAGGAGGGAGTAAGGATATTGTCATGAGTTATATGGCTTTCCTAATCCAACAAAAAGTCTATCTTTAATATTGAAAATCTTTCTTTATTTACAGATTAAGAGGCCTTATTTCCACGTAAAGCCGTTGGAAAGGTGCCAATTGAAGAATTGGAAGGAATATTTGGACTACGAAATTGAACAAAAAGATCAAGACCGTGTGATTATTTTATTCGAGAGGTGCTTGGTCGCGTGTGCTTTGTATGACGAATTTTGGATGAGGGTGTGTGGATTTTTTTTGTATTTATAAAATTTGTACACTTATGTCGACAAAACGAAATGTTGAAAGTTTTGGTTTGCTCTTTACAGTTTGTGCGCTACTTAGAATCACTGAAGGGAGACAATACGGATAAAATACAGGACGTGTACACCCGAGCGTGTAAAGTTCATCATCCCAAAAAGCCAAATCTCCATCTGCAATGGGCAACATTTGAAGAGAGCCTAGGCCATTACGACAAAGCTGCTAGCATTCTTGAAAACATTGACGACGTTATTCCCAATATGTTGCAGATAGCTTACCGCCGCATTAATCTCGAACGTAGACGCGGCGATTTGGACAAAACTTGCTCCCTTTATGAGCATTACATTAATAATAGTAAAAATAGAACTATTTCAAATAATATAGTTGTAAAGTATGCTAGATTCCTATGTAAAATTAAGAACGATACGGACAAGGCCGTCAAAGTTTTATTGAGGGTAATTACTTATTTATTTTGCTTTCATTTACACAAATTGTTTATTTATTCCATCATTGTTTTTGAATGCTGAAATTAATGTAAATTTCTTGAATTTTTCTCAGGCAACAGAAAAGGACAAAGACAATCCAAGATTATATTTGCAATTGATAGATCTCGGCCTTCAAAGAAATCCCATCAACACTCAAGAAGTCATTGGCTATATGGATTTGTTTATTGATCGCGAACATGCCGATGCAGAACAGCGTGTTTTGTTTGCTCAGCGCAAAGTCGAGTTCCTCGAAGATTTCAGCACAGACATTCGGCAAGTCTTGAAAGCACATGAACAATTCCAAAAATGTATAAAGCAAGCTAAAGAGAGAAAGAAGACGAAAAATGATGACAGCAAAACGTAAGTATAAAATACTTTGTTGAATACTATCTTTTCGTTGAAAAAGTCCGTAATAACGATCTTTATCTTAAAAAAAAAAAAAAAAATTAAAAAAAATAAATTTATAGTGATGTGGCGGCAAAAAAAGCCAAGTTGGATACGTCAAGTGTACCGCCACCCACAGTCGGCTCGCAATCCTATCAGTATGGTGCGACAGCTTACCAATCACAGCAGCAATTCCCGAGTGGCCAATATGGTACTCAAGGCGGTTATCAGCAAAGTTATCAGCAATATCCAGCACCATCGGATCCCAACTATGCCAACTATCAAAATTGGCAGTACAGCCAGAGCGGACCCCAAGCTTACAATCCATACAATCAGTGGGGCTCTTACAATTACTATTAAAATTTTTCATTGCAAAAGCTTTATTGTTTACCCAAGGTTCTCATGCCTTTCGCTTGTTAAGCAAAGAGCCTTAATTCCAATTCACACATAAGAGGGTTAAAACAAACGGTGGAGTATGCTGTGTGCGTTTGACCAAGAGATGGATCATTCTGCGAGTATGAGTGTTGCGTAAGGAGAAATTTTGTCGATTTAGAGGGATCGTCGGTTTTCGTAACCAAAGTCGGTACGTCGATGCCATGAGTCTATGTATATTTTCATTATAAATGGTACATAATATTTAACAAATTAAGCGGAATGTAAATTTTTCAACTTTTGACTGATCGGCATTCACACTCACGATTTTATTTGTTCTTTCGGTTGCGTAAGATGTGACAAAACTTAATTCTTTCTTATTTTGTTTTCTACAACTTTTTTACAAACTGAGATAGTTAAAGTGGAGAAAAACAGTTTTAAAATTGAAAAATTACTAGAGTCCACAAATAATAAGTTAAGTGTCACTATATAGTTAACTCATCTCGGAGTTTAAATAATGTGCATGTGAGATAGTGCACTAACATACAGTCACCTGTAAAATTAGAATTTGACAGCGTTTGCATTAAAAGTGGGTTGCAATTATTTCCACTTGGTTTAGTTGATTTATTCTGTAAAGACACACACATTTGGTCAGTGTTGCGATAATTAGAATAAATAAAAGATTTAAGTCAGTTTAATAACTTTTAATTCAGACAATTATTTCCCATTACCCATGCTTATTCATCATTACAATCGCGTATTTTCTATTTAGTTTTGCGACTCGCAATACCTATTTTGATTTAATAATTAACAAGTCAAAGTTCGTGTATAGTCTTCGTGTAATTGTATTATGAATTAATTTTATGGATAACTGAATAAACTGTTTTTCAATCTGTAAAATCATTATTTGTTTAAATTAAAAGTCCAGTCTTTCCTAATATCACAAGAAAATTCATCAGTTCATCTTTTGTTTGCTTTAACTTGTCACAATTTTACAATGTTAAATTATAAATGCGTTAATTTTTTTGTTTGGCACACTTTTTTTATTTTATTAGTAAAAAATGTAAAGTTATAATTTCTTTTTTAAAAGAGCAACAATAATATGCATATGTTACAGTTTTATACAGATAATAAAACTTACATTAAACCGCTCTTATCGCATTACAAACGTTTCGTCAGAATGCAAAAGAAAATCTCATTGGAAAGTAAACATGTACATGTGGAATCATACTCACTTTTTGTTTCTACTATTGTTTCGCATGTATTATATTCGTGACTCAAGTTAAGTATATCTATGTGTATATATATGTATATATATTAGTTGTTTCTTGTACAAAAAATTTTTAATCTCACTTATTGACTAATTTCGTTTGAAGACGATTCGATGTTGATAGATGATCTATTCAACATTATTATATGCATGTTACTATTTGTTATGAATTCGATTTAAAGATCATCGATCTTTCACATTATAAATTTCAATGGTGAACTCGTAATCAAAGGTAACCAAATTGAGCTTATTAATTCTGAAATTAATAATCCATTAAGCGACAACTGCACTTGTGACCATCTGATTAACTCCGCAAGATCCATCTCCTCTGTAAACTCTGTAGTACCCTCGCTCACCCCAATGCGGACCCCAGCTGTTCTTGATCAGCCAATAAGGCAAAGTTTTATTGAAGATTGGGTAAGCTACAACGTGAAAAAATCATATAACGTAAAATCTTATGATTGTTTTTTTTTTAAATAGTTGTTTATGTAACGAGTGCAGAAAACACGGTTTCCTACAGTAGTGACCAAAGTTGGTCACTCCCCAAAAACCATCTTTATCGCATTTGATACGTGAATAACCATTAGTAGCCAAGATAAATGAAAAAAATAACTTACTTTTGATTCCGTAGCCAACAATCAGAACACCGTGGTCTAGATCGCTGGGACTGCAGAGGAAGTGGAAAGGATGCGAGACTCCTCCAATGTAGAACTGCATGGCGTTGGCATTGATGCCAATGGACATCGGGCCATTTTTCACCAGCCACTGTGCCATTTGGGTCTCGTTGCTGGTAATGTTTAATCCCGAGACAATCGTCACCTTGGCCTTGCCTTTGCTAAAGTGGCACGCCTCGTTCTCCGCCTCGTAGGGATAGTCCGTTTCTGTTTCCAGGCCTCCCAATTCCTCGATAGCTCTGTACGCTGTATCCGGCAGGCCTCCGTTGCAGCCACTGTCCAACTTGTCGCAGTCAATGAGCTCCTGCTCCGAGAACGACATCAGCTGGCCGTGTTTTATGGCGTACTGGCCTTCCACGTTGCCGGTCACTGAGAATGCCCAACAGGAGCCGCACTGGCCTTGATTTTTCACCGGCGTGACGACGTTGTAGTGCCTCCAGTCGTATTCGGCAGGTATCTCGATATTGGGGATCTCGGCCATTGGTAGGGGAATGTCGTTGTCCGATCTCAGCGATGGCTTAAGTCCCAGATACTTGGCTTTGAACTCGGCTTTGGTAAGATCGGCAAACATGGTAACGCCGTAGCGCCCGGTGCCCCGCTCGTTTCTCTGTAGCTCCTCTATCAGGTCCAAATTCTCTTTGAAGATCTTAAAGCGCTTCTCCTTTTCCTCGTCGTTCGCGTACTGTTTCTCATACTTGGAGATGAACTCGTGAAACAGTTTCTCTTCCTTCAGCTGTTTGGCCTGCCCGAGCATTTTCGCACTGTAATTCTGACCCCTGAGCGATCGCTTTTTTCTGCCTTCGGTGCATTTAATTTTGATTTCGGGCTCTCCATTGTTTATCCAAGCTCTGGTCCACGCCTCGATGGTGCACTCCTTGAGTACCTCGTCGGCCTTCAGCTCGCACTTCTCGGTTTGGCCCTTCTCGCAAGTACTTAAGCCTATGTCAACCACGATTTTATACAAATAGCCGGCTACTACTTGACGCGTCACATTCTTCACTTGGCTGACGATTGGCTCTTGGATTCCCTGCAATTGCTGGGAGTATTTCTGGCGCCCGAGCTCTACATATTTTTTAATCTCCGGATCGTTCGTGTCAAAAGCTTGTGGCTGTCCAACAAGCGCCTCTCTTCTCGGTCGAGTCTCCGGCTCGTCCTTGTACTTGCAGCTGTAGTGCAACAGCTTGGGTGCCATTAGAGGCTTTTTCTCGCTGGTGGCTACGACGCACTTGCAGATCTGATGCGGCCCCGGTATGACTTCGTCCAGACACTCGGTCGATACTTCTGCCTCCCTGCAGTCGGTGGCCTCGACTTCGACGGTCAGGTGATACACGATTCCGTGCGACTCTCTAACGCTTTCGCCGGTCACGTCGACCAGGTGCTTCTTTTTATTGTCCTCGTCAAGCTCGTCAATCATCTCGACGACCTTGACCGCCAGCTTGCGAAGTCCAGCCTTGTTGTTATCCAGCACCTTTGTGGATCTCTTCGATCGCCTTGACTCGACGGTTGGAAGCAACACCGGTTTCAGCGACTTCTGACCCTCCTCGCTTGCCTCCAAGGTCTCGTTATCAGCCTTATCCTCGACGTGCTCCTTCACGATGATCTCTTCCTTCACGGGTACACCCAAGTCAGGCTTGGGGCTGGTCGTCTCGGTTTTGACTGGCAGCTCAAAGTCCTCGAGGAACTTGTCGAATTCCTTCATTTTGTCCTCGCCAAACTTGACGGAAGGCTCGCTTTGTTCACCAGTCACCCCAACCAGGACCACTCTCGTGTGCGGCAGTTCCTCGATGACTGCACCTTTCGAAGTCGATAGTTCCATACTGGGTACGCGAAAAACTTCCTGCGCCTCCTGGGCTATTTGGTCGTAGATCTCGGTCTTGGTTGACTCGGCGTCATCGCGATTTTGACTAGTAGCTCCGGTTGGCGCCTCAAACGAGAAACCCGTCGATGGATCGACGCTCGCGCTGACCTCGTTGTCGTTGTCGAGTAGCGAGTCTGTGCAGTTGTTCTTGGTGATGCGCCGGCTACCGGTCTGCCAGGGACGCTCCTCGAAGGTCACCAGGCAGAGCTTGATGGGCAGGTTTGACTGTAGCGAACACTCGGACACCTCGATGTGCGATGTTCTCAGGCAAGTCGACTCGCCGATCTCGATGAGGAGGTGATAGCGGATGACGCTCGAGCTCAAAGGTACGGTGCGAGTGACCCGGACGATGCTGATGAGCTTGTGCTTAAAGTCACTAACACCAGCCTCGTCCATGGATTGGAGCACCTGATCACCAAACGCAGAGAGCCCGGGCAGCGAGGTATTCAGCTCGTAAGGACAATTGGGACAGTAGTCGGACTGGGTGGCCTTAACGGCGACAAAGGGCCGGTCGTTGTGGTCCGCGGACATTTGGACCTCGCTATCCAGGCTGGTCGCCGTCGGTTTGTCCAAGCTATCGACGCCGGCTGGCTGTTGTTCCTTTTTGGCTGGCAAGTCGTGACACTGCACGCTGTCTCGGTTGACGATCGGTGGCTGATAGTACTCCGAGTCGGTGATGTACGCGTCCAAGGTGCAGCTCTCGCGGGGACAGGTTTCGCCAATGCCCTTGCACACCGGCTCCAGATTGAACGTCAGTCGGTACATTTTGTGATTCGTAGAGGACATCTAGACATTTTAAAAGATTAAAAATTATCAAGTGCTTTTTTTTTTTTTTTTTTTTTTTTTTTTTCAACGTGACGATAAATAAATAAAAAAAAGATACATTTATCCGTGGGTGATTTCTCGTCGAAAAAAAGCAACGAGCGTCAGCGTAATGTTTATTTAAAGAGCCGAGACTGCAATGACACACTTAACACTGTCCGGCCAGTGCTGATTCAGCGAGTATATCGTTGGATTTTCCTCGTCAAAGCAACAGCAATCGGTATTCCGTTAATGTTAAATACACGACAAGTTGAACGGACAAAGCCACGCTCGAAGAAATAAAAAAGTTAAAGAAAATTGGATCGAGGCAAAAAAATCGGAAAGCTCATATTTTGCGCGTATGAAGAGAAGAAAGTATGCGCAAGTGAACGCAAAAAAAAAAAAAAAAAAAAAAAGAAGAAGAAAGTATGGTGCGCGCGTAATTACAATATCGTCGGTCCCGCGGGTCGAGAGCGCGCATTATACAAACAAAACGCAAAAAGCGGACGACGAGGGACCACCCGTTGTAATTTGTATACATAACGTAATCTGCCGCTTATTAATTCGCTGACGCGTACAAACGAGCGATTTCATGGATATTAATATAATTATTTGGTACACACGCGGTGAATAAGTACAGTATCGCACCGCACGTTTACCCCATCCCAAAGAACGTAAACATCCTCTTGAGCTACCTCGAAGATGTACAATCAACGTGCACGTAACATATAAATGCGCGTAGGTTCCACCTTCGCCAAATATTGTCAACGCTCGACAGTTTGCATCACAAGTAGATAGGTAATAATACTTAAAAACCAAAACACCAAAGCTATTATACCAATTATGTACGTGTAAGTGTGCTCGCTCACCACAATCTGCGCCGCGACGAGACTGCCGTGCTTGTAAGTGTGCCCATTGGGCGCTATGTCATTGAGAAAGTTGAGGCCTCGCTGCACGTAAACCCGAGGCACGTAGCTCGGCTCGACGTTGGTCCAGGGCAGCTGGACCTGTCCCAGGGCCGAGTCAATGCCCAAACACGCCACAGCCAGCAGCAAAAGGCAGGGCCTCGTCTTGGCGAAGAGGCGCGAGGCTGCCATATTTTTTTTTTTTTTTGTTTTGTTTTTCTTTCTTACGTGCTCTCGCGGAATGTATAATTATTATCACACGTATTGCGTACACTTATGGCCCTCTCTCTCGTTTTATATACGCTGCCAAATGGGTATGTATATGTATCCTTCAGTATTAAATTGGGTATTTGTTACGACTCCTCTTACTTTGACGCTCGAGGAGCGACTGGCTGATCGCGAGACTCCGCTGCTCCGAACGATATGGGATCGCAGCTCTCGCTAGTCCTCCTCCTCTCTTTGTCGCACACATCTACGAGCGATTCCGCGAAAAGTAGACCTTATCGGATTAAATTTTCACACCTTTGGCAACATTACTTTTAGTTTCCTCTTCCACTGGAATGACAATACAATTTTCATACTCCCAAGACTTACGTTTTATCTCGTAAACAAAACTTTTTTTTTGTCAAAGCTTCTCGCAAAAAATTTCGTTTTTTTTATTTTTTTTCCTGAGGTGACCAGAAATAGAAACTATTTTTTTTCGTCTAGAGTAAGCCAAAGATCATTGACGAACAAAACGCAAAGAAAACTTTAGTTACGTGTTTATGCCCGATCACCTGGTGTAAGGAAAAAAAAAAAAAAAAAAAAAAACTCCGGCCATTTGTTAGCGACAACACTTTTTTTTTTGCAGAATTTCTCATATGGTACGCGTAGCCCAGCGCAGCTCAAGAGACCCGGCCAGTGCAGCCTTGTCGTTGTCTCGGTATCATATATTTACGTACAACATACACATACGTTACTCGGCCTCCGGGGATGTACATTTTGCTGCTCCAGCTCTGTTGAGCATCTGGTTCTCTGTGCGCGGGTGGGATCTGTTGGAGAGCAATACTCGAGTACCTCTCCTCTTGTATGCATTTATGCGTGTGCACACGCTGTACCCCGAATGGTATATATAAATGCAAGTATTGGTATTGCTGTTGTCCTTACGTAATTCTATAAGACGGCATCTTCCGTAATCTTCAATTTAAATTTGCTCGAGTCGTGGTAATACGCGTCCCGGTCAAAGATTCAATGAGTAACGCGTAAGAGAGGAAGAAGGGGACAAAACGAGGATGATAAATGCCATACTTATTACAGTGACGCTTGAAACAAAAAATAGTGCTATGATACATCTGGCGTTGGTAGCGGCTAATCTTTCCCAAACGCAAAATTTAGTGCAAATCAGGAAATTTTTTTTTTTTTTTTTTTTCAAATATTTTTTTCGTATCTTTTGACTAAAAATGTATTAATCTAAATAAAAATATAGTCTTACTAAAGCAAAGAAAGAACTAAATACAATAATAACATGTTGGTCATTGTGTAGAAACTTTTTTAATGTTTAAATAATGAGAGCATGAGAACATTTTTTAAAAATACATACACTCTTTTATCTAAATATTTTTAATTTTGACGTAATGATCCATCTATCGTGTATTTTTTACGCGCGCGTCAAGGGTCAAGGTTGGTCATTTTTCTTGTCCTTACTCTTCACCCTCGAAAAAAAAGAATTGAGCACTTGATAACGTTTTTCCATCGCGCATTTTTATAGCAACACCCTCACTTTAAACTTGTAGTAAATTTTGCGAGTTGATTGAATGTTGAGTGAAAAATTTACGGTTTTTTCCATCACGTAGGCTTGCAATACTGAAGCTCTGATCAAAAAGATCTAATGAGATACGAGTACCACGATCGTGATCAATAAATGCGTCACCCTAATATAGAATCGATGTATGGAGATTATTCATTAAAAAATCAAACTTTACCGAGTAATAAATGTGTTTTTTTTTTTTTTTTTTTTTTTTTTTTTTTTTTTGTGAACTGTCGGTGAATAACCATGAAAAAAAATTGCTCGTACATTCATTTGAATGAGTGTTCGACAGACCAAGAGATCCAAATGTTAAGTTTTTTTATTTGTCATACTCTATTTACGAAAGTATCTTTAACGTGATCGATTAAAATAACACTGGTAATTTTTTTTTTTTAGTGCTGTTATTTTAGTTACTATGTAATATTATTTTAATTTGTGAGTTTACACGAGAAGTCTAAAATTCAATTGCTAGTTTTACTCGTCTTTCATAGCTAAAAGAACCGTAAAGTACGAAAAGGACGAGCTCATAACCTGAGTAAAAAATATATTGCATGAATAAATGTAAGCAAAAGCCTTCATTGGATGAAATAAAAATACTTTACCTGTAAAAACGACTCGAGGGACATGTCGTAGAATTTTCCAGCTGTGATGGTGCACGGTTTGCTCGACCTCATCGAGACCATTTTAAAATTTGTCGGCGACAAAGTACCAATCCAATTGCTCAAATAGGTAACATCTGCGACATTTTCGCTCTATTTTGTCAACATAAAATTGGCAGTAATATATCAATCAAATTGCGAAAATAGTAAAAGTTAAATACATGAATGAATTGTAATTTTACATTGGTAAATTTCTAGATTTTACAATAAATCGAAAATCGATATTTTTTTACGTAACGCATCACACAAAACACACGTAAGCCACCCGGAAGGCTTCCCTCGGCAAACCATGAATTTCAATCAAAACACGGATACGGCTTGATAGGCATGAATGTATATATATATGCCATACATTGAGAGAACGAGAGGTAAAAGTTACCTCGGTTTTGAGCCTATGGCCGCTGTAGCTAAATATAAACAGCTCCAAAACAGCGGACTGCAGAAACGAAGCGTATTTCAGTAGTCGCGTCTTATCCTCCAGCATCTGAATCGCCAAGCAAAAGTTTAACAAAAAAAAAACAAAAAAAAAAAAAACTTTTTCAAGTAATCCAGATGAGTACTTTATAAATATCATCAAGAAGCTAAATTGAAAAAAAAAATTTTTTTCTTGGTAAATTAGTGGATATTGTACCGTTGTGAGTTGAAACCCGCCAAAGCACATGAGTCCGGTGCTTATGATAAACTGCGCCAGCGCCAGGAAATTTATTACGCTCTCGACTTTTTCGGCAAATCTGACGAACAAAGAAATCACACGAGGAAACGATTAAAAAACTAAATCCTTTTTTTTTTTTTTTTTCATTACATTCGCACAGTAAACCAGCTTGTACACGTTGCAAAGGACATAAATAATAAAACTATTACATGGGAGGACTAATGCGCACTACCTCATCTTTCATGTCTTGTAAATCACCGACAGAACCGCGGTGAATCAAACCGGTTTTTCTCCTTCTCCACATGCTCGCACAAAACAACGCTCGAAAAACGAGCCGATTTATACCTAAAGTCAATTGCCAAACGTATTGTCTATTACCTCGAAATGACCTTTTTTTTAAACGTTGAAAAAGTGTGTTGACGTTGTTTTTACAACTTTAAAATGCAGAGAAAAAAAAAAGAAATGTTTCAATAACCTTGCATAAAAGTTGTAAAAACGTTGAAAATGACCGGTGTTTTTTGTGACTAAAAAGTGCTCCTCGACTCCTTTCGCGTTAATTTGCATGTCATTATAACGACCAACGTGGACGACAACACCTTGAATCGAGGAGTTGAGATAATTTTTATTAGTCTCACTAATATTTTTATGGATGCAATAAATTATGATCATCAATAATAATTTTCATGAAAAAGCTTAGTCCCTCACTCCAAATGTTTTGTCATCATTGAAGTTGTCCATTAAATTACATACAATGTTTTTAAAATTTTGTGCGCTATTGGAGAGGATTCGCGTGTACCTGATGCACTCGAGGTGTTTCCGCACGACCCCTTCGATTTTCGGGCCACCAGCAGTCCAGTCCGAGGAGTCGAGGGTCCGAAAGTCCCTCTGGACGAGGGCAAACTTGGCCGCGGCGTGGATCGTCGCTATGAGACAAAAACTCGTGCCACCGGCAATGGTGCTACTACTGAAGCAGCCAATCACCGAATTTACAAAATACGTGCACTCGTAGCGTGGCGATGTCGTGTGGTTGAAAAAGTAATAACCGCCGAAGGGTAGCTTGCTCTGACCTGTTTCTCCATCGGCCAGTTTCATCTAAACGAAATTAGGAGGTCATTTTTACCGTAATTTTGGGATAAACGTCGTCGTTGCATGCGAGGCATGATCGAAATGCTTCGTTGTTTTTCATCAACACGTTCTTTTATCACGACTCATTCATAAAATTATTTAAGTCCGACAAATTTATCTGCTGGCCATTTTTTAATACGCGCTGACAGTGATATAGTAGTTTTTGTTATGTTGGTTTAATCCCTTTGTTCTTTCTTTTTTTATTAAACTGAATTTTGTACACTTAAATATTTTGCTGTTTATTGTAATCGTCTCAAAAATACTATTATAGATAACAGGCAATATTTGTAACCCCATATTATAGGGTATTGTCTTGACTCGCATGCATTGATATTGTGTTGGACGATCTCAAACTTTGGGTTTTAATATGATTCGTTGAAAAAAAAGTTTGTGGTTTTTCACGCAAAAAGTTAATCCATCGGTATAAAAGTTATGTTGGAAAAAAAAGTTATTTTCTTAATTCTACTCAAATGAAAATTGTACGTTGGATGAGTAAAATACCCCATAAGCTTACGATCAAAATTACAGTGCAACTATTTTCCTACTAATAGACAAATAATCATGGAAAAAAATCGGTTATGATGTATATCGTGTGTAAATACGTATAAAATGTATAATGTGCAACCTCGAGAATCGGCATAAAAACGAAGGCGAGGGCCGTACTCGCGACGCTGATGATGAAAAACTTTGCGAGTTTGAACGCGAGCCGGCACTTGTTTCTCAGGACGGATCTCTCGGATGGAGTTGACTTGACCCAGTCGTTTCTCATGGTGTCCAGGACGAATAGCATGTCCTGGCGTTTGCTCGCGAAAACAATGACCCTCAAGTGCACCATGTAAAAAGCCGAGGATACGAGGCTACACTCTATGGTCTCGTTCATATCTAGACCCCAGAAGAGTATGGCTTCGGCTGTCGTGGTTGTGCATGCGACTAACGTCATTAGGTACATGATGGCCCGGTGCACTTTACTTGAGATTATTCCTCCGGAGCTGTGAGGCCAGCAGCCGAAAATTTCAAAGGACATCATCATCGGTCTTATCAGTTGGTCGTATTCTTCCATGATTATTATTTCTTTCTCTGCGCCACGAATAGTACAGGGTAATAATTTATTTGTCTTGGGAAAAAGTTTAACGTTTTTTGCGCGTAACTATCGAATAAGTGTATAGCTCTTTTTTTTCTCTAGATATTATCAAAACTAAAATTGAATTTATGCATATAAATATTACATAAAACAATGCATGTATCATTGTTCACGAGAAATGTTAACAATTTCTTGATATTTTACATACATCAGTTTTACAAAATTTCCTGGTTAAATTCTATCGTAAAGACATCGTTTTTCAACAAAGTGTTTAATTATCCAATCAACAATCAATCGATCTAAAGCTATCCTACATTTTGGGCTTAACTGCACAAAATAATTATGCTTTCATTAATTTAGTCTATACTTTGATACGTACATACATTTTAAAGTCTTTTATGTAGTGTAAGAAATTATTTTAGCACTAAAAATAGTAAAAATAGTGTTTTAATAAGTATAGCTAAATTTTTTGTTAAAAAAAAAAAAAANAAAAATCGTGATAATAGTTGTATAAAAATGATGAGAAAATTGTAAAAATATGACGAGCACAGTATACTCTTTAGTTTTGATTGAAATTTAAACGTATGTAAAAGTGTGCTATTTAATAACAAAGAAAGGAAAAAACGGTGTCGCGGACGCTCTTACTCATAAAAACTGTTTTATTCACTTTTACTCATATCTGGTGGTAGAGTTATATAAAAATCGAGACTTGCGCTTCAAACTTACACGTACCTACCTGTTTTTCAAAATTTTTTCCAGTTTACCAAATAACCATTGCAATGATACTTTGTTGTTACCACTGCACTGCCGTGTGTTTGGTGTTGGTAACTTCTGGTCGTCAAGCACCATCGAGCGTTTCATAAATAAAACCGACAAAGTTGCTTATTTGGAAAATAATTGACGGCTGCCACTCGTCGGAGAGCTCAAATAAGTACACCTACCGCGTGGTTACAAGAAAATTATGCGGAATCGAACGGGCGAAGAAAAAGTTTGCCACTGCATGCATAACGAAGCTTTGTTCTTGCGTCCGGAGTAAACTGGATTTTCGCCTAAATGTGCACTTAAGTGTACTTATGGAATCGACAGTGAGGAAAATTATCGGTTGCACTAGCAGCATTGTAGAGGCGCCAGCGAGCCTGTGAACAGGTGTAATTTGCTGCGGTTCTTTTTTTTTATTCTCTTTCGCTGTCCACTTGTTTGCTACGTTTGGTTTTTCTTGAAAATTTTAGAACATTACATTACTGTGAGAAGAATATTCGAAAATTTAGTGGAATAAGCAGATGTACGCCAAAAAACATCAAAACGGCTTCTTAAGCGTTCGCTCACTTATATTCATTCGACAGCTAATGTGTGGAGGTAACACAGGTAGCACCTGTTTAGCGATAACAAATTTTTTTTATTTCACTTCCATTAAATTTATGTATTATAAATATTTATACTCTGGAACACAGTAAGTGAAGACACGGTAATTTTTTTTTTTTTTTACCATTATTGCGTATAACTTTTTCTTCGGTTTTTTTTTTTTTGTGAGAGTGAAATGCTCATCTTGTACTTATACATATGAGATTGGTCAAATAAAAAAAAAAACTGAAATTCTACAGTAGCCGAAAGTAGCACTATGGGTGATTACGATAACAAACGCGATAACTGAATTTTAAGATTTCGTGTCTTTTTTTGTGCATCATAATAAGTTCCGGTCCGAAAATTTATTTTTTCAATTGAGTTCTGAACAAACTTTCTAAAATTTTTAATTAGGAAAAAATAGTAGAAAGGAATTGTATTTACACTTTAAAAAAAAGAACAAACTAATTTTTTTTTCTCTTTTTAAGTGCATGTCATTTTAATTACATAAAAACAGTACATAATCTTCAATGAAAGATGGATGATCACATGATTATGGTTTGGATTGATCACGTAGTTTTTCCTTTATTTTTAAAGCGATAAAATTTCAGAATGAGATTTACAAAATGAAAAACAACATAATTTGAATTTTTAAGTTTACTAAAAATAAAAATCACCCGTTTTAAGATACCTAGTAGTTTAATTTTTCTCGAAACTACGATTATGTTTAATAAAAGTTTGGAGGTTGATGAAGCCCCCTACAATGCTCATAAAGACGAAAAAATAACGAGATTGGGACAGTTAAATTGGTAAACAATAACATTTATTACTATTTGATATTATAATTATTGTAGTACCTCACGAGCAGTTTGATGGCTCCATCAATGTTTAAAGAATTAAAAAGTTTATTAAGTTTCGGAGGTACACGAACATATTAACGGCTGATATTTTTTTAAACTTGCAAGGCCTTTTTATTCAAATATAATTTAAAATACAAATGTTCTTCTTATAATAACATTATTTTATTTTACCAGAACGTACATAGTTCAACCACTATGTTTAATGTAATTGCATCCTCGTAAACATAAAAAAAATTGCTGTTTCATTTTACTAATCCTTTATGGCTAAAAGGACCGTAAGATACGAAAAAGATGACCCCATCACCTTTGTAAAATATGGAAAAAATAAACATGCGTACATTTTTTACAATAAAATAGTAGTATTTTACCTTTAAAAACGACTCGAGGGACATGTCGTAGAATTTTCCAGCTGTGATGGTGCACGGTTTGCTCGACCTCATCGAGACCATTTTAAAATTTGTCGGCGACGAAGTACCAATCCAATTGCTCAAATAGGTAACATCTGCGACATTTTCGCTCTATTTTGTCAACATAAAATTGGCAGTAATATATCAATCAAATTGAATCCTACACAGACTAAAGACTCTTAATTTTTCAATAGGTATTTTTTTGAGTGAGGATTAGAGACAAAAGTAAATCGGTCAATTATGATTCAGAAGCGGCTGATAGATACCTCGGTTTTGAGCCTATGGCCGCTGTAGCTAAACAGAAACAGCTCCAAGATAGCCGCCTGTAGGAATGCAGCGTATTTCAGTAGTCGCGTCTTATCCTCCAGCATCTGAATCGCCAAGCAAAAGTTTAACAAAAAAAAAATAATTTGACAAGTATTTATTTTTTAAGTTGATTTAGGACTGACTCGGGTGTCAAACGTGGATTTTTGTTTTATCTTTTTAAATTGAACAAACATTAGGTGAAAATTGATTGATCAATTACGTGTACAAATACAATATTTCACGGAAAAATTTTGTAAATACGATTTGGTAAGTATATTATATCTCACAAAGCAAAAGTAATAAATTTTGATGTTTCTGTCGATATCTCGTAATGAAATTCATCAGTTTATATATTTTCTTATTTGACAACATTTTCTGATATTGTAATGGAAAATCTGTTAAAATATTTTTTAAAATTTTATTTGATTCTGTTCACAATCACTAGACTCCTGAACCATCTTAAGACGTTGAAAACAAAAGTACATGATGGGTATACCGTTGTCAGTTGAAAACCGGCAAAGCACATGAGTCCGGTGCTTGTGATAAACTGCGCCAGTGCCAGAAAATTTATTACGCTCTCGACTTTTTCGGCAAATCTGTAAAATGAGGAAAATGAGGAAACGATTCACTATAATTTATCCAAAAACCACATCTTTTTTTCTTTTATGCAGGTGTACCTATGGTATACATATCTACCGTAGCATTACCACCTATGTGGTAAAAGTATTTTGTATAAAGTCGATCATAGTGAGAGCGAAACAATAATAATTTTCTGGTTAAAAAAACCACTTGATAAAAATTGTTGGTGAAACTTGAAGATAGCTCCAGTAACTGCACTTCGAATGTACATATTTTATTTACCCGCGAATGTGCGCATCCAACCACAGCAATCGCATGGGGTCCCTCGAACGTAGTGTTTGCCCTGGTTCGCACAACCAGGTATACGAAAATAATAACAATTCTTTTTCTTTTTTTTTATAAAAAAAACGAGCTGATTGTCTAAAATTCTCAAAAAGAACAACTGCTTCGCGTGTACCTGATGCACTCGAGGTGTTTCCGCACGACCCCTTCGATTTTCGGGCCACCAGCAGTCCAGTCCGAGGAGTCGAGGGTCCGAAAGTCCCTCTGGACGAGGGCAAACTTGGCCGCGGCGTGGATCGTCGCTATGAGACAAAAACTCGTGCCACCGGCAATGGTGCTACTACTGAAGCAGCCAATCACCGAATTTACAAAATACGTGCACTCGTAGCGTGGCGATGTCGTGTGGTTGAAAAAGTAATAACCTCGGAAAGGTAGCTTGCTCTGACCTGTTTCTCCATCGGCCAGTTTCACCTAAACGGGAGTTAGAGATTTTTTGGTCATTTTTACCGTTAAACTACTCGGTGTTGCGATATCGCGGTTCTATATGATCCAATCACGGATACTTTTGTCACGACATCAACCTGCATTGGACGAGCAATTTAATTGAAAGTTCGACATAATTGGTAAAAAATGAGCAAAAGTAGATATCATTCGAGTCTCTACATTGGATTGTTCTCGTTTTTCATCCAAAAAGTTGGTCCGAAAGTAAAAAACTACTCGACTGATTCTCCACTAAAAAAATTCGATCATTTAGCAATCCGATCGAAAAACTCGGGCTAAATGGGATAACCGTGATCCTGCGATAAATATTACGTACACAGGGCAGGTTGTTTTTGTGCATATATGGGTATCAAAACTTGTGGTGAATCTGGACGTGTAGCAAATAAGGATACGCAACCTCGATGATCGGCATGAGCGCGAACATGAGGATCGTCATCGCGACGCTGATGATGAAGAACTTTGCGAGTTTGAACGCGAGCCGGCACTTGTTTCTCAGGACGGATCTCTCGAAGGGACTGGAATCGAGCCAATCGTTTCTCATCGTTTCCACGATGAGCATCATGTCCTTGCGTTTGCTCGCGAAAACGATGATCCTCAGTAGCGCCAGGTTCAAGACGGACAACACGAGAATGCACTCGATGGTCTCGTTCATGTCCAGACCCCAAAATACCACGGCTCCAGCTGTCGTTGACGTAGACGCGATCAGCGCGAACAACAGTATGGCCGTCCGGTGGAATTTGCTCGAAATTATTCCTCCGGGGCCTTGTTGGGACCAGCAGCCAAACACGTGGCACGAGATCATTACTGGCCTTATCAGTTGGTCGTATTCCTCGGTAGGGTCCATAATTTTTGTTTTCCTTACTTTTTTTTCCCTGCATCAACAAAAATCGTGCCATTTTTTTTTTTTTTTTTAAACTAAAGTGAAACACGTTTACAGTAACATAAACCTACCAGATCTCCGTGTTTCCGCCAATTGACATCTCAACGACACTTTAATGGTACGACTGTCGCGTTTGGTATTTCATGATGGAAGCGAAACGAGGAACCAACAAAGTTGCTTGTTTGGACGGTAATTGGTGGCTACCTGCATTTCCTGGAAGGTTAATTCAAACGAGTGAGTACACATGCCGTGTGTTTAGAAGAAAACCACACGGAACTTCAATAAGAGGGGCACGGAAAAGTTGATAAAACTTTGTTCTTGTATACAAGTGCTTGTACGTCTTTTCGAAGGGAATCGACTACCGATTAGGAAGATCATTGATTGCCCGTGTCATTAAGAAACTAGCGTGTATGTCAATGTGTAGTTTGTAACGAGTGGGCTTGGGTACAATTTGCTGTGAATTTTTTTTTTTTTTTTTTACTGCGTCCTACATTTTAGTTGCAACAATTTTAAAGACGAAAAACTCCAAGTTATCATGAACGCTGCGAGAAGAACATTTAAAAATGTTTCAACTGGTGTGATAGCTACGCCAAAAAATATTAAAAAAAAAAAAAAAAAAAACAGCTTCTTGAGTGTTCGAGCAGCTAATGGAAGTAATACAGGTAGCACATGTTTAGCGATAAAATTTTATTTTATTTTTTATTATAACTCAACTAAAAGTATATAATTTGAATATTTACATTTACCGTGAAACGGTAAATTTTTTTTTTTTTTTTTTTTCTTTCAACGTGTAACTTATTATTCGGTAGCTGTTTTTTGGAATTTATACGTGATTAAAATACTCGTCTCGTATATGGTGTCCGAATCAATCGGGTCGGCCGAAACAAAAAAGAAACCCTGAAATTCCACAGTAGCCGAATAGTGGCGACACACAGGTGATTACGATAAGAAACGCGCCAATTGAAATACATACATCGTGTTTCTTTTGGCAATCTTCTGGATGGTTACTTAAATGGATGCATCCTCGGATGTAAAACAAGCACCGTGTGATAATACTACGCTTGGTGGGATGATTAATGCGTATAATAAGTTTTTGTGAATTGCAATAATTGTATGTTATTATTTTTGAAGAAAAATAGTTGATTTTTTTTTTTTTTTTTTTTAATTACCAGCTTCAATTATTGGAGAATTGGCATTAAATTTTCAATTTCCTTGGTAAACAATATTTTTTCAGTATAGGAAGAAATGGTTCTTATTTCAAAACGATTGGTAGGTGACAGACCTTGGTGTACTTGAAAATTATGTTAAAATATTTTCAATAATTGGTGAATGCTTTTCCATGGCTTTGATCAGTTTGCTAAAAAAAAGTAAAATAAATAAATCAGTTTATCAGCGCCAGTGTTTCCTATGGGTGCATTTTGTTCATTAATACTATGAATGGCCAACGACTATTTGTTGCACATATCAAAAACGTCGTAAATAAATCACTCGTTACAGGAATTTTTTTTTTTTTCAATCAGCCAATCTAGAAAATATTATTTATACCATCCAAGTCCCTGTTTTCTTTTGCAAAAATGTAAAAATTCGAATTTAACATCAAGACGCGAAAATGCACGCATAATACTCAAGTATCAGGTTCAAGAAAATGGAAAATCAGGCAAGATAATGTTGCCCAAATAAATCGTTTTATTGCATAGATTTTAACACAATATTGTTTAAAAACAAATAAGATTTGTGCTCAAATGACAAAATAATGGCTCGTTTTGAAAAACTAGCTATAGAAGTGAAAGAAGCCAGTATACAATTGACAAATGTTTATTTTGAAGTAAATTTTACCTTGTGTCAATATAAGACCGATTCTACTAATGAACGTGTACGATTAATGAATATATTGAATATCGCTGATAAAGATGACAAACAAGGAAAAACTTGGTACAAGGCCAGCTGAACTTTCAACGAAAATGCCAATAAAACATGAGAAAAATTACCGATTCTTCATTTGTTGTGCCCATCGGAGCGATGTTAATCAACTCCGCGGAATATTATTGTTCATAAAATTGTCAGGGGGTGGAGGGACAATGTAAAAGGTTAAAAAAAAAAGGAATCATAATTTCATTGTTTAACAGATTTTTCCTGATAGGTATATAACATTTTTGGAGGTACGTGGAAGAAAAAATCGGTCCTCGTCGAAAAGAGGGGACTTTTAACTACACTTCTTTTTTTTTTTATTACATTTTCTCATGTACCCAAGTTATTTACGTCAAAAAGTTGATTGCATTTAATTCATGGTAATGATAATAGTGCAGTCTTGAAAAAAAAAAAAAAAAAAAAAAAAAAAAAAAAAAAAAAAAAAAAAAAAAAAAAAAAAAAAAAAAAAAAANTGTGTACCAACAGTGCTAAACAGAATTTGTGAAAAAAAAAAAAAAAAAAAAAAAAAAAGAGTTGTAAAGTCACATTGATGACCGAGAGATTTATCGGTCGTGCAGCTCGAGTGTACACTGATTACATGAAAATAAAAATCTTGACCAGATATATGTAATTACATATGAGCTCATTATAAAATTTTTAATTTTCGTACACAAAGTACGCGCCAAAGAGACACACTTTTTTTCTCTTTCTCGATCCTTCAACAACAAACTGTTGAAAAACAAAAGGTTCTTTTTTTTTTTCATTTTTCATCCACCCTCGTCTTTTTCTCCGAATCACAGTATATAGATTGCACCTGCACGTTTGCCGCTTTCGATCCGTGACGTCAATCATTCACGTAGACATGGGAACTATGTGTACATCATTCGACCTTTAAACTTCAATATATGTTGTAAAAATTAACTGGCATATCCATGTATGCAAAAATCAAGTTCTTACTGTAAAAGCTCAAAAGAATTTCTGCACCAATGGATCAGTGACACATGTGTATATACAACACATAGGCATATGCGTTTATTGGATTTCTGTTCGTATGAAAAGCTTTCGATGTGTGTATAGCCTGATGCGCGTATCACACCTGCAGTGGCTGAAAGCTCCCGCGAGCTGTCACGTCGATATCATCGCGAATAAGTAATGCATCATGCGCCGAGCCACTGAAAAATTAAGAGTCGTAAATTGACACATAAGGCTGCAAGACGTGCAAGTGCAGTGTTGTACCTATATATTTGCGTCTCGCGCCGTGTAGGCGTGTACCAGCTCAGCGGCGAGGAAGGGAAGGGGGAAGATTCGGGGGAAAAAGAAAGAGTATAGAAGAAGCCCCGCTAAGTAAGCAAACATGTCGTCTACTGCGTCGTTGTTACATCAAGAGCATCGGAGCAGCGGTGGTGGTGGTATCGCTACGATATTGTTATTGTTGTCATTCGGTGTCAGTGTTCGGCATCAGCAGCTGTTGACGGAGGACCAGTGTTGTCCGGATAACCAAGTCTCTACGATGATAACGAGACTCGCGATGCTCGACAAATGCTAAATATACAAGAGAGAAATATCCGAGAAGTTGGGGAAAAAAAAAGTGTATTCAAAACATTACTTTACACAGTGTAATTTTATAATTAGTTTAAGCATAATTATTGAGAGCACGCAGTTGACGCTTTGAGGCTGTCTGGAAACCATGGCGGTCTCGCACGCCTTGGGAATGGGTGAGATCGTCCATCTGAATGTTGGTGGTACCAGGTGAGTAAAGTGAGATATTTAGAACATTTTTCGGTCGGTCTTGGTTTTTAACTATGACACATATTTTGTCTGAATGAGAGGTGCTTAAAATCTAAGTGAAGTTTTTCATTTTTTTCTTCTGGGGTTTATTCTTTTCTAATAACACATGAGTAATATTTGATAAAAATTGACGCTGTTTTTTTTTTTTTTTCAAAGGTTCTCCACCTCGCGACAAACTTTGTCCTGGATTCCCGACTCGTTTTTCACGGCTCTACTGAGCAATCGCATCGCAAGCAGGAGAGATGAGAACGGAGCGTTATTCATAGACAGAGATCCAAAGATATTTTCAGTCATTCTTAATTACCTGCGTACTAAAGATGTTGATTTGACTGACGTTAATATACGTACATTAAGACATGAAGCAGAGTATTATGGCATTACGCCACTGGTTAAAAGACTGATGCTGTGTGAAGATTTGTCACTATCTCCATGTGGGGACATACTATTCTATGGCTATTTACCGCCTCCAAGTAAGTTTTTACCTCAATATTACTTTTTTGACCTAGTTTCTTAGTACTTGTTATAAAAATCTTTATCTTTGCTCAGACATTCCATTACAAGAAGCTACTGTTGCAACTACAACAATAACCACGACTGTTAGTGATGTATCTGTTCATGGTAGGCAACCAGGAGCCAATTCAGTCCCTCCACCTAGATCTGAAGCTTCATCAATATCCCAACCTACAGTTAGTTCATCCAATTCTCCAGCACAAGTTGCAAATTCTAGTATGTACATTTTTTGACTGTGAATAGGAGAAACATTAATTTTTCCACCTTCCTTTGATTAATCGATCTTTCTCAATTTTTTTAGACTACAGAGTATCACAAAGAGGACACTCACATTCGCGAACACCATCGCTTGATCTTAGGCATGCCAGGAACAGTTCAGCAGACTTGAATAAGTTATTCAAAAATGACATAGGACTGATATTTAATCCACTAACTGGTATGTGATTCCTCGTGTGAATATATTTAAAAATTTTGTATTAACTATTTGAACATATAATAATTGTAAACTTGAAATTGTTAGTTTCAGGCTGGGCAGACCCACTTAGGGTTCAAATCATAAAAGCCCATCACAATTGGATAGCGATAGCTTACGCGCACTTCATAACGTGTTATCGTTTAAAAGATTCGTGTGGCTGGCAACACGTATTTACAAGTCCACATGTCGAATCTGTGATCGAGCGGGTTGCTATCAATGCAAAAATGGGCATGGGTGCCCATGAAGGAAAGATGGTTGCTATCTCGTATGGCAGCCAAGTGAGACTGTGGTCTGTCACCGAAGATGGCATTAAAACAAACATCGGAACATTTAATTTGAACGTAAGGGTTGAGTTTTTGTTTTTTATTGGAAGTCAATTAGTTGCTTTATCGCCAACGGGAAAAATCGGAGTGTGGCATGCAATGACCCATCATTGGCAGATTCAAGATGTAGTATCCATCTCGTCATTCGATACTGCTGGATCATTCCTTTTATTGGGATGCAATAACGGATCAATCAATTATATTGGTAAATTAGTTTTTTTTTTTTTTAAACGATACTTATTAACTTTACTAAGCATGACAAAAAATATTATAAACAGATATGCAAAAGTTTCCTTTGAGGATGAAAGACAACGATTTACTTGTAACACAGTTGTACAGAGATCCTAGCAATGATCCTATCACCGCGATTTCAGTATATCTGACACCGAAAACAAGTAAGTTTGTTTTGTCATTTCAAATCATACATAAAACTGCTGCTACTGATATTTTACAGACAAATTGGATACGAAAGGCAATGCACTTGTAGAAAACTTTCTTTGTTTTTCTTCCTTTTACATTAAATATTTTTAAAAAATTTACAACTCACTAATTTCCATTTTTAGGCAATATCGCGAATGAATGTTTCTTTTGGGTCATTTAACGTCATTTTTTTTTTAATCATGTGGTTGAGTGAAAACTAAATTTATTCTTTACGACTGCCCTCTCATTTTAAAAGTATAATAGACTAAAAATGTAAATCAAAATTATAGTTCTAAAATGTGAAGAGCATATAAAATAAAAAATTTACTTGGGAAAAAAAAAAATTTTTTTTTAACTGTTTTCTTGATAAAGTTTTCGCTTTTCTTTTTTTTTTTTTTATAATCTCAAACATTTACAACGACTTACCATAACATTTTTTGCTTCATGAATTGGTACCGTACAACTGGATACATAGCACAAGGCAAGTATGGGTCTTCAGTTATAAGTTCAACATCACTTATTATACTTATACATACATCTTTATTATCATCGTTTATTACACAATTCTGTACATTTTTGCATAATTTTTTACTGTTATATTTTATTTGTATTTAATATATTTATGTAGATAGTAGTACGTGTGCCCTTTCCTTCTTTCAATTGATTTGTTTGTGTTTTTTGTTCAATTTCACGTCTTACGAGTACCTACCAAAAAAAAAAAATTTCATAAACTATCGTGTTTCATATCAAGCATCAATCTTGTTTAATGACATTTGAATTTCATCGGCCAATTGCACCTTACTCTTCCTATGCATCCAGTTGTACTAATACGCAAACATGGATAATTTTGCAAGCTTTTTGTATGCATTAAATTCATTTGTACGTGACGCATTATATCACCTTACTTTTGACCTCTATTGGCAATCAATTTCCTTTTGATTGTTTATGAATATTCCAGTTAATACTCTATCAGTATTTTCGAGAACTTTGAACTTATTGTTAATTTATTGAATCTGTGTGTGAGAGGGGCAGGAAGTTTATACTTAACTGTGCATAAACATTTTTATGTAAAGTTTTATTTTCTTTATTGATAGAATTTCAACTAAATATCTACATAATTGTTAGTCTGTACAGTAAAATTACACCAATCGTGTGTTTTTAATAGTAAAACACCGATTTCCGGAAACAATGTTTTAAAATACCGCTTGCTACGTGTGGCTTGTGTTCGGAAAGGCTAATAAATAAGTGATTAATTTTATTTTAATACTCCAAGCTAATATTTATTATTCAAGTCTTTCATTGGGCACATCTACTACATTCAGTGCATGAATTACATGAGTATCGTTGTAGTCTAGATTTGCATGAACCTTATTTATGTTCCAATGTATCGTAATGAGACTATCTTTTATATAATAATATATCGGTTGCATGAAAATAATACTAAGTTATTGATAAATAATGATGGGGACGTAACTTTCAAGTGTCCAAGCCGATGACTTTGTTCATTGAATTTGTAGTATTAAAGTTTGAATGTTTTATTCTCAATGTAGGTCTCTGCGGCAATTGGATCGAAATAGCTTATGGCACTAAATCAGGGAGTGTCAGGGTAATAGTACAGCATCCGGAAACAGTCGGTCATGGGCCTCAGCTCTTTCAAACTTTTACTGTACATCAGAGCAGTGTCACAAAGGTAGACATTAGACTCCTCTCCCTAACTGTGTTTTAGCATAGGTGTGCATTAAAATACAAATAAAAAAACTTTGTAGGTGACGCTGTCAGAAAAGTATTTGGTCTCGGTATGCTCCGAATATAATCACGTCAGAACGTGGGCTGTTACGAGATTTAGGGGCATGATTTCGACACAACCGGGATCGACTCCTGAAGCCAGTTTTAAAGTCGTTTCTTTGGATGCTGTCGAGCCTTGCATTAGCTACAATGCTGGAAATGATTTTGGTAGGCTAAATTGAATTGGAATGAATTTTCGCAAGTTTAGTAAAAGTAAAGTAATCTTTGATGATATTTTTTTAATAGGTCCCTTTGGTGAGCAAGACGACGAGCAGGTGTTCGTTCAAAAGGTTGTGCCGGAAACTGACCAACTGTTTGTGAGACGGGCATCCAACGGCAAACGCGTGTGTGTCATTCAATCGATAGACGGAAGCGTAATCACATCATTCTGCGCGCACGAGTGTGAGGGCTCTAGTCGTATGGGCTCACGACCGAGGCGTTTTATATTCACAGGACACTCGAATGGAGCCATACAAATGTGGGATCTTACAACAGCGCTTGAACCAAATTACAGCGCATTAGTAGGTATGTTTTTTCGTACGGATTTATGTTTGGTTCATTATTATTACAACCATTAAAAAAAAAATTAACAAAATTCGATTCATTTTTGATTGGTTCAGCCAAAGAATCTTCAGGAGGACCCACGCCGGAGGAATTATGGAAATTACTGGATCAGTGCGATTTGAGCAACAGTCACTGTTCGACACCGAGTATCAGTCCATCCCCATCTTTGATAGCTTCAGGACCGAGAATAAAGGCGAGCAACCTTTTGTTCCTCAACCAATCGCAAAATTCGAATTCGTCGGTAGGATCCAACCAACTTTAAGTGAAAAACATCAACAGTTTTAGAAATTATTTTTGCATTTATTTTGTACATAGGAACATTGTTGATTTTTTCTCAATTTTTTCACTGACTGAGTCTACTTTCGTATTTACGATTAATTACAATCAACAAATTGTGTCAAATTGATAAATTCCTACTTGTCGTTATATTTGATTAGGATTTGAGCTTTATAAGGCAGCAATAATTTTCACTGTGATTTTTAAATTGTAAATAATACTTTCATTAATAAACAATCTCGTTGTAATTTTTATATATATATATGTATATATTCTTAATATGTATATGGTATTTTTAATACCTGGTGTAGTAAAGTAAGAGTAAAAAAATCGTGATACTTAATTTTCAACTAAAAAAATGTTTATTGATAAAATTAGTATGGCATTGGATAGTTTTTCAACAAAAACTACCTTTCTCAAGTTTAATGTTTACACCTGCTAAGTACGGTCATAGTAAATAAGCAATGTTACAAATAGAAAATATATAAAATACAATATTTGGTAGAATTAATAATTATTTCTCTAATAACATGATAAGTGTATTTTAACAAACGAGCATCACAAAATTCATAATAGCGCGTTCTAATCGCTACGTTTTAATCGAGGCACAGCGGTGTTAAATTCACTATCTAATAAAATTTTTGGTCTAACGGCCAACTGAATGCTCAATACAATAAGACGTAAAAATCGACTTGCACATGACATGCCACTTTTTAAAAATTTCCTAAGAACTTCAATGTTACAGTAATCACCTGTATTTTAACAATACGACGAGTATAGAAGCACACGATCTAGGTGGGCTCTGCATTTTGTAATAACTTTCTTTTTAGTAATAATACAGAGTCTGTTCTAAGAGCTTATTTTGTTAAATCGCTGTAAAAATGCAGATTAGCACATGATTGTGTAAATCCCAAGTGCTTGGCAGTCTAGTATTAGATTCACTACTACCGACATCCAAAGTTATTAGAAACACGAACATAGCTCCTTCAGTCGAGTCTGGCATTTACCTGGCTGAGCCTAGGCGGCAATTGTTCGATTACAAGATACGTGTCATCGTTTTTCTTTTTCATGCCAAGACGTGCTTTTGCCAGAACAAATTATTACTAAACCAGCTAGGATTTGTCATTGGTGTTAAGAGAAAATACCACGCGACCAAACCTATTACGAATAGAGAAACTAATTTCGCTCTTTCTAAGTGATCTTCATAAGTCATCACTTCTGAAAGGTCTGGGAATCCCATGTAATTGCAAAACGAGTGAGCCGTAAATGCCGCTATAAAATGACCTGTGTGACAAAAAAATTTTATTGATTAATAATGGAGTAAAGTAACCGAATTTTTTGAAAATTATAAAAACATTTTACCAGTTTTTGCAAATAGAAATGCAGCGTATACTCCAAATACCGTTGAATAAGCAAATTGAACACCTAGAAAAAAAAAGTTGGATAACTTATTATTTCACATTATTTTCCAATTTTTTTATTTAGAGTCATTGTGTACATACATGATCTCAATAGGGCTGTTTTGAAATCCATTCCTCTCCTTGTATTTTCAACTATATGATGAAAGTGTGCCGCCCCAAAAAACAGGGGACATATAAAAATGGCAGTGATTGGCGCAAAGCATTGTAAGAGCAACGGCAACATGCAAGCTCTGAATGTCCATTCTTCGGAGAGTGGTGCCACGACTTGATTCCTCCACCAGACCAGAGTTTTGGCACTTCCCAGCCAATACGATGGTTCTTTGCGCAGAATTACATTTTTTTTCAAGTTAAAAGAATAATTGTTTGAAATGTTAAGCCATTCGAGCATTTCAAAATTTTTTAGCGCAATAAATTTACTACTATAAAAATATCGTAGCAAAAGTGCAAAAGCTCACATTAGTTTTTTAAATATTTAATATTGAGCTTACCGGCATACAGCCGCCACAGGCCGCTAAGTCCCTGCATATAAAGTGGCCCCAAAAAAAGGATCATTGTAAGACACAGTGGAATTATAATTGCTTGAATTATGCCTGGCCATCTTAGTCCCAATAACTGACAAAGAGTTGCCTGCAATGAATTTTACGATTTTCTATATAATTCAATAAAAAAAAATAAAATCAAGTGTTTTATGCATAAAAACTTTATTTTCATGAGCAAAAAACTAGCCACTTACTCCGTGGTAAAATTTTTCATTAATTCCAAAATATAGCGATAACGGAGAGAGCAATGTCATTACAAAGACGCTAAAGAATCGCCTTTTTATTACGCTCGGGTGATCCCTGAAAAAATATGATTGTTATATCACGGATGTCACAGAAAGTTGAACAAAGTAAAAATACTCATATTTAGAGGGAGAAAAAAAGTTAGTTCTATTACACGATTAATTGTCAGTATCATCCAGGAATGCTAACATAAGTACCTTATCTCAATACTGATCTAAATAATGTAGTTAATCCGATACAAAAAGGGCTGAAACTAAAATTAAAAAAAAAACATTGATCCATTGGTTGTAAATGTCAGCAGTCGAGCCTTGTGAAAAAGAATCACCCTATATTAATTCTTATACCAACGCAAGTTCTACAAAAATGAAACGTTGTGTCGAATACCAAACTCGCGCAGATTATTTAAATTTCATATCTTATTTTATATACATTTAAGAATCTGCGTAGTTATGCATACATTCTGATCAATATTGATTCTAATGAGGACAAAAAAATCGTTAATAAATTCGATCGACGATAATACGAATTTACAGTATAACGGGATATTAAAAATCATACCAATATCTAAATTTGGAGCGAGCTAAGCAACAGCTCTTCGAAATAAGAGATTAGTATGGTCAATTAATCTTTCGCGATAGCAGTCACATATATGATTGATTTGTTAACGGACATGTTTCGATCAAACATATTTAAATTACTATAAATTGTTCAAGAAAATTTTATTATTTTACGTAAGTACGATGGATAAAATGATTTAAAAAAAAGTTAGTCAAAGGTGTAAAGTATATAATTTATGTGTCATAGGCTCACGTTGCAAATAAATAATATTATAATGTAGATAAACATCATTAATATAAGTGTATAACACGCGCACTTTCCATGGTAATATGCAAAATTGCAAAAAAACGTCTCATGTGAATAAAACTATACCGATAAATCCACAAAATTTAGAACACATAAAACAACATGGAAACAAGTATAAGAAGTATGAAAATAATTATTATCCTTTATTAACGACTATCACTGTGGCTCTTATTATACTCGCAATCTATAGCCAATCCATTAATGCCAAAATTGATTCACTCCCCACCAAACAAGATTTCAAACTTCGATTCGATCCGTAACAAAATAAAATGAAAAACCAAACAATTAAGTATATTGAGTGTATAGTAAGTATAAAAGGGTTACCTACAAGGTATTTCACGTACGCATATTGTAATATATATTTTTGAAGGGTAGAGAGAGCGCTTGTAAAAATTATTTTCCCTAGTTTGGCGGTGTGATCAGGTAGAATGACAACACTATGCCATAGGAACAGCGACAATTAACTGCGCCTGGAAATTTTCTTCGATTCATATTTTATGTCATGCCGGAGTCACAATTATATAGGTATACATAAAAAGTGTCCCAAGGCAAACAAAACTAAGAAAAAAAATAGGATATTCTAACCCAACTAACTGGACAACTAAGAATATATTAACGATTGCGTATTAATAAGGAAATTTATGTAAGTACACTTATAAATCATAAAAACGTTTAAATAATATTACTAAAATTTGTGAAAAAAAAAAAAAAAAAAAAAATAGTTCGTAAGTATATATAACTGCCTGTGATAAACGCAGATCACAATTAGGTATATACATCACAATAAAATGTAAGTAATGAGTATACCTGTTGAGCGGCGACCTCCAGACGTAGAGGCTCCCAACGTAGACGATGGAAAGTACGAGGCAACCGAGAATGCCGGTAACACAAGGGTAGCCATCCTGAGTATCTTCTGCTGTCGCAGTAGCTCCACTACGTTCGTTTACCATATCCATCACTCATGCGTAACACCCAAAGCCAGTGCTGCTATGGCACACACGCAAGACCTATAGGTACACGAACACTTTGGACTTGGACGAAAATAGTAGTCTCTCCCACGCAGTATAATATACCCTCTGTAATAGTAGTAAATAACAACCCGCAGGAACCCACACAAGCCACGAGCCTTACATTTTAGCACGACGAACGTCCTTCTTTGATATACTTAAATATGCACGTACGAATAAAATAGATAAAAGTATACACATAAAGTGTTAATGTTTAGTAAACGTATACCTAAAAGTATGTACCTAAAAAACCTAAATTATGTGCGTGTTGTGACTTGTGACTGTTGTGTGTCGTTTCCCCTAAATCGGAGTTGTCGGAGTTCGGAGCAGTAGGTTTTCCGGAGTATTTGAAGGAACGATGGTACATGAAACTACTGCCACTCGGGATTTCACACGGAAACTCCAATTTGAAAAAATTAATACTTGTATGTATATGTTTCTGAATTGCACGTGGCAAATGATTTTTGTTAGGTTGAGTAATTATTTAAGTATTTAGAGCTGGAATTAAACTGTTTCGTATATATTGTAACAAAAATGTATAAATATGACATTATCAATACTTTTTGCAGTATTGATTTTTAATAATACATATATACTTATAGTTCATTTTGGTAAAATAATCGGAGATTGCTAGAAAGCTGTCCATTTTAGTGCAGTTTTGTAAGATATAACAACAAATTTTTTATAGAAATTCGGATTATTTTACACACATTTTTAGAGGAATGTGAAATTATCCTATTGCGCTTTTATCGTCTTATTTACTGCGCACGCTGCTCAACTCTAAAAATTATATACTTATCAGCTTATCACATCAATCCGGTAATTAACCATTTATCAAACATAGATTTCTTGGAAAATAATTTTACTTCTTTTCGTAATAATCAAATTACCAAATGCGCTTAATACAAGCTATGTATATAAATATATTTGTGTTGCATGTATTGTACGGATAAACTTACGTATATTTCAAAGATATAGCCTTGCGAAGCACTTAAAATTTAATCATCTAGGTATATGTAGTGGAAAAATTTACATTTGTACTCTAAAGGAGATGTATATTAATTGCTTGAAATGTGAAGCAATCTAAAATGAATGACGGATGCAAAGATTGAAATACATATTTCTTGTGAGTTAATTTATTATTACCAACGTGGTTTGTACATACATCAGGGATTCGTGGAACAGTCTATATGTGTACGAAAACGTTATAAATATATTACGGACGAACGCAAAACACTGCTTGGATTTTTAAAAAAAGAAGTGCCAACAACATACGTTTTGCGTATATAAAACTTTGAATCATGATGCGGCAAAAATTCGATTTACTCGTCGAATTATCATTTGCAACAACACTTTTGTTCTTTTTTAAGTATTTATCTCGTTCTCCGTTTGTTTACAAACACGCCAATGTTTATATATACTAGATCATGGTGAACTGAACTTCTTTAGTTATAAGTTTGGGTCATTTTGGGCCAGAAAACACTGGCCTTGACCACTAAGTAAAAATTAAAGACAGCAGAGAGGCATTCGTTAGGCTGCGTATACATGGAGTCTTGAACTTCCAGGACCAGCCCGTAAGCCCGTGTGAGTGCGAGTGAGAAGCAAGAACATATTACTCTCTTTCTCGCACTCACAAGGGCACATGGGCTGGTCCTGGATATTCAAGACTCCATGTATACGCAGCCTTACATGCCGGGTGCGTCGGCTTGTCATGCATGCAAACTAAAAAAATTGAATAAAAGAGCGCATAATATGTTACCCTGTATAAATCATGATTTTGGTAATTGAGTGTCGAGAAATTAACTGACAAATTGAAAAAAGACATTAACGAATTTAATGTCAAAAGATTTGTCGACACTAAAAGTAGCGCCACGATAAAATTTTTATTGCAGCAGGAAATCCCAGATCCCAACGGGTAGGGTACAGTAGAGTACCTATTCTACCTACTTGTTGTAGAAGCAGGGTACAGGGAACAAGTCGAACTGAAGAAAGGAATTGGGGAACAGCAACCAACGCAATAATAATTCAAAGTACAAAGCCAAATCGGCCGTGGTGGTCTGGTGGTGCGTGGCGGAGTGTGGTGCGAAAAAGAGACTGCGACGAGAAGATGGCCGCTATTCGCTCTCGACTGGAACGTACCTAGTGCGCGCTGTTTTCGCATAGAATTTTCGTGTGCTTGTGTATATGTGTACATTCATGTGTGTGTGCTTGCTGCAACATCTTCGGCGACCTTTTCGCGCATAGCCTAAGAAATTTTACTCGGTGCGGCCTAGATTGGACATACTACCAGTGAATATATTTACCTAACATTCTTTCGAAAGCAAGAACATCCTGAGGGAACGTGGACCTCTTCTCCGTAGGCTATACGTCGGCTCATGTTATTTTCGTGCGCGCCCTCTGTGTTTTTCCATATGTATATACAATTGTACATATAAATAGATATACAAAGATTAAAGTACAGTTTGTTCTCTCTCTTTTTCTCTGATGAAGATGATGGAGTCTGGCTACTCTGGCTACTAGTAGGTATATCTGTACGGCATACCTATAACATATAACGACGGACGGAGAGGAGAGAAGGCAGTAGGTAGTAAGGCAGCAGTACGCGAGGGGGAGAGGGAGAGAGAAAAACGAGAGAGAGTGCGGTGGTGTGTCGGTCTGTCTGTTTGCCTGTCGGTCGGCTCCGCGTTGTTGGGTGCATGTGTCGTGATACGACCTGGTGACACAGGGACGCGGAGGGTTTCGTTGGGAGGGAGCCTCGTCGTCTACGAGGCGGCGCCGGAGGTGGTGCATATCAGCCCAGAGGCCGGTGAGGAGCGAGCTGTCTCGGTGTAAGCGCTACGAAAAATGCCGAGCGCCTCGTTCACCTCGTCTCGCAGCTACCCCAGGAGGTCCAGGCGGAAAGGAGCCAACAGGATTCCTCTGCCGTCTAGGACGAGTTCGGGTAAGTTTTTCTACTCCTACGCTCTTTCTTTTTCTTTTTCTTTTTGCCCACTGATGCATCTTCCTCTCCATGCGCGCAACCAACCCGTATCCCGTATATTCCCGTGTAAGTGAGTGTGTTGTGTGTATATGTGTTTGTATCCCTTGTGACGGCAATACGTGTTGTGTAAATACGTACGTGTATTTGGTATACTTGGCTGTATATTCAATGAGTAACGCAACTTCCCAGAGACACGCATCGGTACTCTTTATACACTTATTTATTTATACATGATGCCGTTTCCCGTTTAGCAATGCCGCAGTGACCTATGTACTTATTTATAACAACAATATCATCAAGACTTTGCTCCGATCCGACTGTGCTCCTCTGGAATTTTGGAGCTGGCCAAATCGGCGATGACTCGCAGAGGGCCTATCGATTCCAGGGAAAGATTCGTCGTCCGCTCCGTCTCTCTCTCCCTTTGTGTTCTCGTGATAGTTCTCTTTTACTGGCTGTCCGCCTGCCTGTACATACATATATACATATACATTTCCCCACACCCCCGTAGCTCCTCGTCATGGCGTACCTACATAACATATACACACACATACACGGCATATATCCGTCTGCCGCCGCCACAGCCGCTATTATAAATTATAAGCGTGTCTATATGCATGCATATGTGTATAATAAGAACGACGACGAGGGTATACTGTTCGTCTGCTCCGATATCTCTCCACCGCTGCTGTGCAGCAACTATAAACTCAAACACCCCCGCCCCCCATATGCCGTTCTGCTCGAATGGTGGTACGTCTTCTTCGGGTGCTTACGCCCATGCTTGACTCCGAATTGGAGCTCCGTTCGAGAAATGATAATTCATGAGCATTAATATCGGATAAGCCTGAGAGGATATAAGTATAGCGAAAGGGGAGTCGGGAAGGAGGGCTGTTGTGTATACCCATATCTAACATGTTTTCTCTTTCTATTATACCTACTTGTATCCCTACAGTTCACGCTCGTGGGAATCGCATGCATAAGTACTAAACTTATCAAAGGGCTCGTGAGGTTCGTCTCTCCCTCTCTCTTGCATTGGAGGGATTTCTCCTTTTTCTGGGGTTTTTTTTCTTCCTTTTTTTCTTTCCATTCGATCCATCCACGTATACTTTTTATGTACCTAAAAAACCGAGGCGTGGACGCATGTGCATATTAAAGAATTGAACAGCAGTGAGTAAGGTATTGGGTAACAGTGTCGGCTCTCAATTTCTTCTTCTTAACCCGTCTCCGTCTCTCTTTTTCTCTTGCATTTATATATTAACCTACCTAATATACCTTTTACCTTATAATATGTCTGCATGTGTGCCTCTCTAACGCCGTCGACCTCTTTTGCAGCAGCTCAGACCAACCAAACGGTCTGCTTCTTTTGTTTTTTGGTTTGTTTTCTTCTCCTTTTTTTTTTTTTTTTTTTTTTTTTTTTTTTTTTTTTTTTTTTTTTTTTTTNTTTTTTTTTTTTTTTTTTTTTTTTTTTTTTTTTTTTGTTACTCGCTTGCTTCACGTACTTTACTTATTTCTTTCAATTTATCTCTCCTCTCTCTCTCTCTGTGTACCGCTGCTGTTGCTCCGTTACGATTGACTTTCGGTAGAGCATCAGCTGCCAACCTCATGACTTTTCCGATAAGTTGCACTCGAAGAGGAGGAGCACCGCCGACGCGATATAATCGAGCTGCCTTTTTTTTCGTCACTCATTGCTTCCGATTGTTTTGCTCTGTATTTTGCACGCAGTGTATATACTACCTAATATTTATGATAAACACGGCTCAGAGAAACAGTGATGTGTAGAAAATAAACATCTAGTCTACACACAGCTGTCCTGAGTAGTCCGTCGAGTCAATTTAACAAAATGCCGCATACTCGGCATGAATGATGATCATCATGATCACGGTGAGCGCGTCGAGAAGGAATTTTGTCGGAGATAATAATACAATAAAGAGAAAAATACAAACGACTAGCATACAAGTGCAAAAAAAAAAAAAAAAAAAGCGAGGATGAAAAAAGAATGTCGCGAAAAGCGTGAGTATAAAATATACATCTACATAGCTATAACACGTATTTAAACGAGCCAGAGAGAGAGAGAGAGAGAGAGAGAGAGAAAGGGTATTATAGCCTGGCTTTCCGATGATAAGCCAATTTCGGTCTTAATCGCTCTTTCTCTTGCGGGCAAACCCGCATTTCACACACACGCACACATTACACAGGCTGTAGGTTATACACACGATAACTACATAAGCGGAGGAAGCGCCGCTCCGCTTTGGGAACATGGCGAGAGAAAGAGAGAGATCTCGCGAAACGAAAATACAGAGCTTGAAAAATCAGCTATTACTCTCTGTACCTCCTCTACACACTACTTCTTTGCTCTCTCTCTCTCTCTCCTCTGTTTCGTGCTCCGTTTCAGCGATGTACGCTTGTATACCCTCCGATTCGGTAAAAAAAAATCCCTGCTTATAAAGATTAATGTGATCTCTTCTTCTCTCTCTCGGTCTCCCTGATATTATATACATTTTTTTATAGTGCCTTCTGCTCACCTGTCACATTCACACACGCGCACAATTCTTACCATCAAGGCATATATGAACACGCGTTGCAAACATTAGGTACCTCGTACGATGCACGTATACTTATATATACTTATTATAAACGCAGGATGTGTGCGAGAGCCGATGGCAGTCTCCGTTATGCTTCAGTCCCTTTTCTCCTCCTACTCCTCTTTTTTTTGTAAATTTTTTTCCTTCTTTTTATCCCAAAAAAGCCTTTCATTTTCCCTTCTTCCTCACGAATCGGAGAATCGACTGTTTGGTACTTATATATTTTTTACGCTTTTGCGCTCGAAATTTATTAGAGTGCAATATGCACGCGCGTATCGATCGATAGTAGTTGTTTTTTTTTTTGTGTTTGTGCCTCCTAGTTCGCTAATTGCATCACCAAACCAACTCAATGGGCACACTAGTTCGTAATAATAGAAAGTTTTGCATTCTCTGGTGCATGTGGTGCACAACGACATATTGTATCTGTATACCTGTACCGACAACTTTTGCACAAACGCTCTCTTTACTTACTTGTACGTTTCTCTCTTTTGACGTTTATTTTAACGACACTTTATCGTAAATTGTCTACTTTATTGTGCCTCCAGCCTATACCTATCTTTGTCGATACACGTATACCCATAGGTGACAATAGGAGTCTTCGTGACAAAGTAATTATGCAAAACGGCATTAACGTTTCCATATTTTTTTGCAAAAATATGTCTACGGATAGGTAGACTCGCAGTAATGCGGAGCAGTTACGAGATCAGCTACGAGAGTTGAGAAAAAAAAACACAAGGTTACAATTTATCGTAGGCGAGGATAGTTAGTACAAAAAAAAAAAAATACTCGTTACTGTGCCACAATCAATACTGCACCGATAAACCATACAGTCATTACGTGAACGTGCATGAGATTACTAATTATAGATCCAACAATGGGAACAAAAAGAAAGAAAAAAAAAGCCGAAAAAGAGTGTATGTGTGTCTCATGTTTGGAGATAATCGATCAATGGAACCGTTATCACTATCTCTAATTTGTAAATAAGTCGACGCCGACGAGTTTATTCACTTTGTCTTATAGACAATGTATGTACCTGTACATGTGTATATATTATATCAACCACACCCACGTTGTTGTTTATATAATGAAGTTTAAGTGGCGGCTTTTACAATATGAATGAGATTTTATCTTGACCTTCGTTAAGGTGTGGAAACCAAAAGCAATCAGTGATTGATAGTGTTGGCACGCAACTTTATAGCCGATAAAAAAATAGTAAATTAATGGACTCCCCCACCTCCCACCTCTACCTCTGATCATTAAAAATGAAGCAATTAACTTCAACCAAAACTAATTCTTAATTTATTTCCATTCACAGTCGAATCGCTCGAGATCATATCGTCAAATCAGATACCACTGGGCGGTGGTGGCGGTGGCGCAGGTGGTGCTGGAGGAATCGGCGGAGCAAACAGAGGAGCATCCCCAAGCGTATCGGGGGTAGCTGCCCCCTCGCCCTCGCCGTCGCACTCGCACTCGTCGCCTTATGACCTTAGACGCAAGTCCCCACCACATCCGGATCCCGCGCCAGGTACCAGCTCGGCTCTACCACCTTCAGGTGGGAACAATGTATCAGCCGGCATTTCTGGAGGCTCGTCCCTTCCAGCGCGGAAGCGACCCCGGCGAACATGCTCGCTGTCCACCGATGGTAAGTCGTGATTGTACCCACACTTGTATCATCGGGACACTCTTTCGAGTCCATGTGCAGTAATGTCCTTATTTGACTCATCTCGTTTTCAGTGGGAACAAATACCAACACGGCAGCGCACTATCTGCAGTACGAGTTGCCGGACGAAGTTCTCTTGACGATCTTCACTTACTTAACGGAGCAAGACCTGTGCAGAGTATCCCAAGTCTGCAAGCGTTTCCAGGTCATAGCGAACGACACCGAGCTCTGGAAGTCCCTTTACCAGCAGGTCTACGAGTACGACCTGCCGCTCTTTAATCCTGGCCCCTGCAGGTTCGAGTTCGTCTCGCCCGAGGAGTCGGACTACCTGAACCCTTGGAAGGAAAGTTTTCGACAACTCTATCGCGGTGTACACGTGAGACTCGGCCATCAGGAGTCGAAGCACAGGTCCAGAAACCTTCCCTGCTTCAACACCATCCAGGGTGCCCTGGACTATCTCGACGAGTTTCGAAATAGCTCGAGCTCCAGCTCTACCAACTCCAGTCCCGTGCTAGGTCTATGTAACAATAATCAGGGCAGCAGTTGCAACGGTGCTGGAAATAATGCGGCCGGTAATTTATACCTTGTGTTTTTCGCTGTTGATCGCAAACAAATGAAAATTACAAAAACGTTAACACGCGGTTTCTTTGCTTTTTTCCAGGTAATGGACAAAACGGGTCGAACAACAGCAACTCGGCGCAGAACAAAGAGGTCGACGAGGCTCCGCAGAACATAGTGTTTCTACACGCGGGCACCTACCGTACAGAGTTTCTCGTGATCGACAGCGACGTGGCTCTCATAGGAGCCGCGTCGGGCAACGTTGCCGACGCTGTCATTCTCGAACGAGAGACTGAGTCTACGGTTACGTTCATCGACGGCGCCAAAAGAGCCTACGCTGGCCACATGACCTTAAAGTTCACGCCCGACGCGGCCAGCACCGTCACGCATCACAAGCACTATTGCCTGGAGATCGGCGATAACTGCAGCCCGACGATCGACCATTGTGTCATCAGGAGCTCGAGTGTTGGTAAGTATCGTAAACAATGACCGTACCGATAACAATTTGATTGCACAATCCATCCGGATGTGTGACTCATTGCTGTTAAAATTACAGTTGGAGCAGCAGTTTGCGTTTCGGGCATGGGGGCAAATCCAATCATCAAGAACTGCGATATTTCGGATTGCGAAAACGTTGGCCTGTACGTAACGGACTACGCACAGGGCACGTACGAAGACAACGAAATATCACGGAACGCGCTAGCCGGTATCTGGGTGAAGAACTTTGCCAACCCGATAATGCGACGAAACCACATACATCACGGCAGAGACGTCGGTATTTTTACCTTCGACAACGGGTTAGGATATTTCGAAGCTAACGACATTCACAATAACCGCATTGCTGGCTTTGAGGTCAAGGCGGGCGCGAACCCCACAGTCGTACACTGCGAGATCCATCACGGACAGACTGGTGGGATCTACGTGCACGAGACTGGCATGGGACAATTTATCGACAACAAAATACACTCAAACAACTTTGCTGGTGTTTGGATCACGTCAAACTCAAACCCCACGATTCGTAGAAACGAGATTTACAATGGTCATCAAGGTGGTGTTTACATCTTTGGTGAAGGTCGCGGTCTCATCGAGCACAACGATATATATGGCAATGCTCTCGCGGGTATTCAAATTCGAACGAATTCGGATCCAATTGTTCGGCACAACAAGATCCATCATGGCCAGCACGGAGGTATCTATGTGCACGAAAAGGGACAAGGTCTCATCGAAGAGAATGAAGTTTTCGCCAACACCCTTGCCGGCGTTTGGATAACAACTGGCTCCACTCCGGTATTGCGGAGAAATAGGATTCATAGTGGCAAGCAAGTTGGTGTATATTTTTACGACAACGGACATGGAAAATTGGAGGACAATGATATTTTTAATCACCTCTACTCGGGAGTGCAAATAAGGTAAGGCCTTCGTGATATCGTATTTACATGTATTTTACAATTTTTCTCACCTATTTGGTCTTTATTATTTTAGAACTGGAAGCAATCCCGTTATTAGAGGCAACAAAATATGGGGTGGTCAAAACGGTGGTGTTTTAGTTTATAATAGCGGCTTAGGCTTACTCGAACAAAATGAAATTTTTGATAACGCAATGGCTGGAGTTTGGATAAAAACGGACAGCAATCCAACATTAAAACGAAATAAAATTTTTGATGGTAGAGATGGTGGTATATGCATATTTAATGGCGGCAAAGGTAAATTTATAAGCAGTGCAACTGTTGTTGACTATTTTGTAGTAAGAATTATTATGAATTACTTAATTCGATTGCAGGAATCCTAGAGGAAAATGATATATTTAGAAATGCGCAAGCGGGAGTACTGATATCGACTCAGTCGCACCCGATATTAAAGAAAAATCGTATTTTTGACGGTCTAGCAGCTGGTGTCGAAATAACGAACAACGCCACTGCCACATTGGAGTATAATCAAATATTTCACAACAGGTTTGGTGGATTATGCTTGGCTAGTGGTGTGCAGCCAATAATACGAGGTAACAATCTTTACAAGTTATATTTTTTCAATTTTGCATTAACAGTAAAATGCATTTGAAAATAATTATTCATTTTCTGCAATAGGCAACAAAATTTTTGATAATCAAGACGCGGTTGAAAAAGCAGTGGGTAATGGACAGTGCCTGTACAAGATATCGTCTTATACGTCGTTCCCAATGCATGACTTTTATCGTTGTCAAACATGTAACACCACGGATAGAAATGCTATTTGCGTCAATTGCATAAAAACTTGTCACGCTGGTCACGATGTAGAGTTTATTCGACATGATAGGTAGGTTTTTTATCGATAATTTTTTTGACTTGATTACTAAACTCTTACCTTTATGTATTATTAAGTTGCTCATTTTTACCTTAAGAAATATTTATTAATAAAACGCTAACTATTACGATTAATTACAGATTCTTCTGCGACTGTGGAGCTGGAACACTGAGCAATCAATGTCAGCTGCAGGGTGAGCCAACACAAGACACTGATACGCTTTACGACAGTGCCGCCCCCATGGAGTCACATACGCTGATGGTCAACTAGGATTTAACTTAAGAGAAGAAACAATAAAGAAATCATGCCTCTTCGTCCTTTCTTTCTGCCCATATTCTTATAATCGTCAAAGATGTTCAAGACTTTGACTTTTACACAAAAACGGAACAACAGAGAGAGGGAGCAAGAGGAATTTATATGTGAATGAGTTGCGAGATACACGCTCACACGTAACCAGGTGCCACGTATGTAAATTTGTGTATAAGATAATGCAAAGCACGAAACAAAAGACTAAAAATTTTGAATTAATAAGTGAATGGTAATGGCTATGGACCTCTTTAAATCTTATATGACCGATACAGTGATTCGGTATATTATTATTATTAATTATAATAATTTTCGTGCGTGACTGAGCGTATAATATTTATAATGAAATAATAAACAAGGTTGCACATGTCATTTAACATTTAACAAAAATGGAAAGAAGAAATAATCATGGTTGCGCGACTACACGTCAAAAAACAAAAATGTGATTTCGAGTGACAGAATGGAATGAGAAGAGATGTTAAAAAAAAAAAATTCAAAAAATCCGAAAAATGTGATATACATACTTCTTTTAACCGGAAATGATATTGGGAAAAAAAAATCAAATGAATAGATAAAACGACGATATTATTAAAAAAGTACAATGAAATACTTTCTTCTCCGGTTTTCTAATCAGCGCCACGAATCATTGGTCATTTCTCCCCCGACGTGTCATTCATTTAAAAAAATGTGATGGTCCTACTGCCTAAAATGGGCAAAGTGCATAATAAGGATGAAAATAATACGGTGATGAGGTGATTGATCACTGAATAATAGATATTTAAAGTATATTATCATAAATATACCACGATGTTTACCAGTGACAGAAAAGTATAAATTAATAAAACTGAGATTTAAATAAGAGAAAAAAGAAGAACGTGTGGAAGTACTGTTAATGAAGCAGTTTTTAAAAATAATCTCTGAGCTCTTTAATTAATAAAATTGATCAGCAGCAGTTTGCGTTTCGGGCATGGG